TATTTTCTATTTCAAATCTAAAAAGTTATTTAATTGCTACATTATCATATCTTAATTATAAATATGTCTTTACTAGAAAATCCTTTGAACAAGATATAGTTATAATGCAAAGTTTATTTGAAATTAGTCTACATGCTTTAACTTATATCAATACAAACACATTTGATGTACTTACATTATGTAAAAAATATAAATAATATCTCTAATTTTTTACATAATAAATGGTTTGGATAGGTTATAATTTATATTTTTAGTAGCCTTGCATAGAATGTTATTAAGCATAGTAAATGTAGTTTTTAAAAATTCCTTGAATGTTTGAAAATAATTATAAAGATTAGAATAGAGATTTTAAAAATGTGTTCTAAAACTTAAAGGTTACTTTATAGCTCAATATGAGAATTTTTTAATAATGTAAACTATTTAATTCTAGTGAAGGAAAAAAGCAAAGATTTGGTGAGATTTAAATAAAAAAAATATTAAAAAGATCTTCTAATATTATATTGAGATCAAATTTTATTAATTTATTTAAAATATTGATATCTATCTAAATAATAAATATTTATTTTAAAGTTCGAAGGTCATAGTTTGGATTTTTCAAATTGAAACTAAAATTAAATAAAGAACTGGTAAAAAAGTGCACAATCACTTATATTGTAATAGCCTTGAGTTTAATCAATATATAGTAAAAAAGAACTTATGTAAATTCTATCTAACTTAGCAAGTACTTGTATCTTATTTATTTTATTAAATAAAAAAATGAAATGAAATAGTCATGTTTGAAAACACCAATAAAAAAGAAGTGTAATTTGAAATATTTCAAATTTTTCTTTGACAAACTCTACCATATTATAGTCACCACCAAAAATAAAAGAGGTATTAGAAAGTAATAGCTCTTCTACCTCCAATCACATTTGGCTACATTCTTGATATTTGTTGGAAGCATATAGATCAATAATGCTTATAATGCTGCCAAATATTTCATTAAGAATGATCAAAATAAACTTTTTATATATAAGAAAATCAAAGTTTTAAATTTAAAAATATATTAAAGAAGAAAAAAGTATACAAACATTGCAAGTACTTGTATTATTCAAGTTGTTTACATAATTGGGTGCAGCTTCTAAAATTAATTTTTAAAAATCTAAAATTGGACATAAAATCTATTTTATATCTTGTACTCTAGAATTGCATAATTATTGCTCTAAAATAAAAAAGAATATGAAATTTTAAAATAATTCTTTGTATTTAACTTCATAACTTCAAAGCTTTGTGTGGATTATTTAACCTATGCACATCATATCAAATATTTTAAAAATTTATCAACAATCTTTAGAAGAAGCCTCTTGAATTCTCAAATTAATAAGAAATTGAGATCTTAGAGAATAAGAACTTTTTTGGTTTTGAAGTATAGCATTTCTTCTCCTATTCCTTTTCAAGCTCTAAGAGCATAAAGAAAAAAGGTCTCTAAAATTCTTTTTAGTTGCACTATTGCTATAACTTTCCAAATTAAAATATTTCAAATCAATGGATGGATTAGAATAGAGGCTTATATAATGTTAAAGAAGAAAAATTGTTCTATTCTAATTTATAAATTATGAATCATAATCAAAATTTGTTATGTATTTAATTATTCATTCAAGATTTATATATATTACTAATAAATATATAAAAGAAGTTAGTAAGTATATATTTGGTCATTTTAATGAGACATCAATCTAAGTTGTTAATTTTTGCCTACTGGACTTGATAGGATAAGGGTCTTGTCTTAGCTTAGGGGCTAGCAAAGACTAGCCCTACTATGTCTCCCTTTGGATCTAAGAGTTGGTCCATACTCCAATTAGTTTACCAATCAAGTATAAATCTTGCATTCCTATGCCTTCTTATAGCTTTTTAAGTTCTACTTGTTTTATAGATGCATGTTGAGTCTCAAGGCATAGGATCCTTATACTAGTGAAGCTATGGTTGGATAGTGCTAGAGCTTCATCATCATCTAGCCTTAAAGCCTTCCAATATGATTAATTAATTCAAGCAATCTAGATTGCACAATTCTCAAGATCACTTGTAAACCACTAATGCATTGAGAAACAAAAATTAGGAACAACTATAGAAAATAAGTTGGAATAAAAGAAAGAAAGAAAAAAAAAAGTAAAAAATAATAGAAGAAAACAAAGGAGGGATGTGAGCAAGCAACAAGGCATGACCTGTCTTTTTTATTTCATTTTTCATCCTAGTTTTTTCAACATTTTTAGTTTACTTGTTTTTTTAGGTCTTGACTTTTTTGCTACGATTGTTTTAGTAGTCTATGTAGCAATTATTGCTGTTTTATTTTTATTTGTAATTATAATGTCAAATATTAAAATAGTAAAAATTTACAAGAATGTATTGGATTTTTTTAATCTATAAGTGGTATTATTGGAATTATTTTTTGTTTGAATCTTTTTCCATTGTAAACAATGATTACATTCCAATATCACCAACAAAATTGACTATAACTTATTTAACATATATAATGTATATTGGAATGATATAAAATTAGACTAATTTGGAAATATTATGAAATTTACTATATAATATCTATTTTTGTTTTGTTTTAGGTTTCTAGTCTTATTTTATAAGTAGCCATGATTAGAGCTATAGTACTTATTATGCATAAAACTACTTTAGATTAATTTCAAAATATATTCATAATTTTGTTTACACATAAAATACCTCCAATAAGATATAGAGAAAAATATTTCATGTACACTAATATATTATATTATGTGAAACCATCTTCTAAATATATTTCAATATCATCAAAATACATAAACTTTGTATTTCATAATTGTTGTCATTGATGTTTTTTCTCCTTGGTGCTTGTAACAATGTTGATAGTTCTTGCTTGTAATTTGTATGATAAACTTTATACTATTCTGACAGATTTTGCCTAATTATTTACGGTAATGTTTCTGCCAATAGCCACAGAAGTACCCCAAAATCGCGTTTCCATCACAACTTGCAGATTCCAAAATATTCCAATTCGTGTACACCTCTCCCTTCACCTTGTTTGATGTCTCAACAGTCACTGTTTCTTCCAATGTTTCTCTTGTTCCTGGATATTGGTTACTGGTTGCGGGAGTTGTGCTCTTTGTTGGCTTGTTCTATGACATACCCAATTGTTGACATTGTTCTGATTGTATCTGTATCGTCAACATTTATCAAGGCTTCGATTGAGGCAAGAGGACGTTCAATAATTGATGCCCTTGTGGTGAGGAGCAACCTCTGTTCCCGAGAATTTCATTGTTGCCTTGGCGATCCTCTCCAATGCCACTGTCGGACTCATCATCCGCGACTGAGACTGAAATCCCGTGTTTTGAATGCCGTCACAGATCCCTCCGGCTCCAAATTTGTTGTCTCACGTTGTGAATCCAGAGTTGTATTAGGCCGTTTGGCCAGGTATTGATTGGTTGTGTGTGTGTGCAATTTGGTTCAGATCCAACCTGGTCTGATTAACATCTTGCTGTGTTTTCGATCTTCATCAATGCTGCACAGCATGACTCTTGCTGCTCCTCCCAAATGGTTGATTTTCTATTGAACTACTCCGATGTGCCTCCTGCTGTTGGCCCGCAGTTTCTCTATTCGAGGCCTGCGTGTAGAAATTGCTAAAATGTTTATTTGCATAACCAGCGAGGTGCTGCCATCAGAGGCGTGTAGAGCATTTTCATTTAAAATTGTTTCAGCAGTTATTACCAGTGACCTCGTTGATTGCACTCCAGATTTGCCTTTTTAAACCCCCCATGTCCTCTGTTTTACAAGGGGGAACCCATGTGCAGCAAGGTTAGAATGTTCAATTACAGTTCCAGGGATAAGTGGATTTGTACCTTGTCTTTGACCTGTTGGTTTTAAAGTCAGACTAGAATTGTTAGTCGTTGGAGTAGCCTCCGGTCCAGTCACATAGGGATTTGTTTGGCTCCTCAATTTAGTCGTGGTAAGTGCAGAACAATCCTTGTTCGTACGGTTTATCTCCAAACGAAAACATCTCGTGGGTGGGTTAAGGTAATCAATGAGAACAGATTCTTTGAGTTTGTGACCAGGTTTTTTCTATACATAATGTTACAATAGCATTATCTAGACCATTGACTCTTCTAAACCTATATTAATATTTTTGAAAGCCTAGCTATTGATTATTATGTTGTAATTTATGTCTATTCTTAAAAAGTTAGGTATAAATAATTTTATGCAAAACAATAATTTAACTGTTAAATTTAATAAAACGTTATTAGATTTTTAAAAAAGTAATCAACAACCTCTTACCAACAAAACATCTCTAATTTATTACACTTAAGAGTTGGTTTAAAATGGTATTAATAAATGGCTTTATTTCTTAAAATGATGAATAATATATTTCTTATTCTTAATTTAACTGTAAATTTTTAAGTTCAATAATGTCAAAAATTAACTTCCAAAAATGCAATGAACTAGCTTACTAAAATTTTAAGAAGTAGAAATTATTAAAAAAATATATAAATATCATTCAAATTATCTAATAAGTCTTTCATACTAAAAATTTATAGTTTTAAAATATATATATATATATATATATATATATATTATAAATTAAAAGCTATATATGAAAATGAAATAAAATATTTTAAAGTTTGTGCTCAATTGTGAAATGGTATCTGGTAATTTTCAAATAGAGACAAATACTTTTAGAAGTGGAATTCTGATGGGTTGTTTTGATTTGAGTTGAATCTAACTTTCTATTAGTAAATTTATATGATATGTTAGAATGATAAAGTAAAATAACCTAGACAAATAAAGTAAAATTATAATAAGCGCATCAAAATCTAATAAATCAAGAGAGAGAGGGGAGGGAGGGAAGGGATAAGAACAACAAATAAGATCTCACACGCACTCGCCACTTGGTCGCCATAGAAGAGTGACACGTGTAACACCCGCCACTTATCTGGACGCTGAGGGAGGGAGTGCGGCTAAACCAGATGAATGCTTCACGACTTTCCTTTTTGACCCCCACCTCCACACCCCCTCTCGCCACAGCTCCCTCCCTCCCTCCCTGGTTTGCTTGTTTGTTTGCTTGCTGACTTTTCCCTTCAATTCTTCAATTCTTCTTCTGCTTCTTCTTCGTCTTTATTAGTCTACCCTGCTGCATCTTGGTCTGTATTGTGCTGCTTTCTCACCGCCCTCCATCCTCTCTACCTCTTCGTTGTCGTTGCTGCTGCTGCTTACTTATTTTATTTGATTACCCAACACTATGGCCTCAGAGGATGACGAATCCGACTTCAGCAGTGAGGATATCAAGAGGTGAGCCAATACCATCACCACCCTACCTACCTACCCCCTTTTAGTACATAATCTACTTGTTGGCCATTACCCCTCCTTTCATCTCTTGATGGCCATCCTCTGTCACGGATTGGTAACTGTTCTACAGATCCGCGTTACTAAACGCGGTATTTGTTACAAATCGTTGTTCCATTCATTTGCGCAACCAAGTTCTTGCCCTGGACTCAAATTGTTTTGCAAATACATTAAAAAAAAAAAAAAAAAAAAAAAACTGAGGCATTTTGAATTTTACCTTGTCTTTGGCCTTTTTGCTCGTCTGTATTCGGTCGTGGATAGATGTCGTCTAGTTAGATATGTAAACCATCATTTCTTGTGGAGAGCCGCTTTTAGGGTTTCCTTTAGACGGTATAGGAAATCACAATCTGTAAAAAGTTAATGCATGGTGACAGTTATTGCACAACGTGATAGGACCCTTTTGTGACCTACTTAGCTTCTACATATGCATGAGAAGTTTGGAAAGAGTTTATTGAAGTACTTTGGCTATTGCGATTGTTTCTATGAGTCTCTAGATCCAGCTTAGACATCCACTTGTTGAAACTCATATTCTGTTCACTGGATGGTGTCGTCATTTTTCGTATTAGAATTTGGTCCTAACTGACAATGTACATCATTGGGTGTCTTGTTGTTTTGTTCAAGGTGCGTTCTAACCAAGGATCCTAGTACATTTATGATGACGGACAGTGATAACCACGGTAAAGATCCTGCGACAGGCTCTACTGGAACTCGAGACGCACATTTAGATTCTACTTCCGAGAAACATTCTCCTCCTTCTGGGAACCTCGGTAGTGGCGGTGGCCCGGAGACTGTGTCAGACATGCAGCCCCTTACAGAAGACTCCTACGGTGGTGGTTTATATGGACACGACGCACCCAACACCCCAACATCGCAGTACACATGCCATGCTAGTGACTTCCAGAGTGCTGAAGGTCAAGAATCCGACATGCCTGACAGGAAAGGAGTTCATGAACCCCCTTCTTCTGGTGATCGTGCGACTGATATCACTGGTATCTCCTACATACAGTGAGTATTAAAACAAAAGAATCTGTTTTGAGGTCAATGTTACCTTTCTTTATATGCGATTTTGAGTGGCTCAGTGCTGCTAAATTATGTTACGCATTTTGTTGCATCGCTGTCAGCCCAAGCTGTGTGTAGAGATGATATAAGAAGCTTCAGGAGCAACGGCCTCGCGTTATTGATCCTGAATCACCTACAGGATGTAGGATTAAAGTATACTCGGCCCAGCAAGTGGATGCAGGGCGCTATGTTTCTGTATATAAAGCTAATGTCTACAAGTAGTTTGTTCAGAAATGCTCCAGAAACGTTCCAGAAACGAGAACAGTTAAGGAAAGCATAAGGTCTTTCTTTGATGATGGAGGAGTTGCGGCTAAAGTTTACCGATTTAGTGGATGATTAAAGGTAACCAGTAACCTGTTCAGATGTAAGTTTGTACAACCTTCATATCTACTTGACAAGCTAATATCCACGAAAATTTCGTTTATCTGGTGAAACCTGCTACTTCTGTAATTTTTTAAGATTATGCTGTCGGCATTTTCATAAATGCGGCAGAAGTCATAAGGGTGAAATAGGCAAAACTCCAATATATTTTTGTTGTTGTGCCTACTGTGACTTATCATAAACACTTTCATGCTTCCACGAATGGTGGAAGTTCACCCACGAATGTGAATGCCACAACACTGCTTCGAAGAATCACCCTGCTTGGTCCAGAGTGGAGCTGTCCTAGAGATCGACACATTAATATGTATTGGAGTTTATCAATTATTCTCTAATTAAACAGTAACTTATTAACTGTTTTAATGTATAAAAAAATCTTGATAAGTAAGAATGTTTTAGAGCATAAAATCATGTCAATAAAGGTCGGATTGATAGTAATAAATTATCTTGAAGTTGCTGTATAAATCCTTCTTTTTCTACGAAGGAATAGTTGGTTGACTCTGTTAGTATATGTATATATATATATATACAGTGACAAACAAAACCGAGTACAAAATCTGAACACTCATAGTTCATTGATCCTTCCAACTAACACATAAGTCAATTGATAGAATTACTTTTTTATTGTGTGTATTCATCCAGTCTTCTAAATGGATGAAAAATCTCATTATCATTTGAAGTAGTGTTTGTGAGAAAAGTGTTGTAGAAGCACACAGACGTGCGTACTCAGTTTTGGTTGCTTCTTCTTGTTGAATTTCGAAATTTCAATGTACACTCCTTGTTGCAAGATTTGAGGGCATGTTTTGTTTGTTGTGTTGCTCTTGTTGTGTACTATCTATAGTGAAAGTTGATTTGTCAATTGTATCTCTATGCCTTGGTTGTGTGAGTCATTGAAGCACCAAGCATTGGTGCAGCTTAGGAGTGGTGTTTCTACAAGAAAAGTTGCAGACTCACTTGGAATGAGTCAGTCTTTAGTAGCTCATCTGAGGAAGGAGATTAGTGGTGAAATAGAAAAGCAAAGAGGAGGACGTCCAAAGGTTTTAGGAGAGCAAGAGAAGCGACTTGGTGTGCACCTTGTCACTGCTGGTTGTCTCAAAACGGCGAGTGCAGCTGCAAAACAACTTCGAGAAAAAACAGGTAAACACTTCTCAGACATCACCTTGAGGTGTGGTTTGAGAGAAGCTGGTTTGGGTGCTTGTGTGCAACAAAAGAAGCCTCTACTTGCCAAAAGACATGTTCTTGCAAGGTTGAGTTTTGCTCATAAATACAAAAATTGGACTGTTGATGATTGGAGATGGGTTATTTTCAGTGATGACAAAGATTAACCTAATCAACTCAGATGGTAGGTCTTGGTGTTGGTTGAGAGAAGGAGAACGACTTGGACCTAAACATGTTAGTCAAACTGTCAAACATGGTGGTGGTTCAATTATGATTTGGAGTTGTATGACTGCTTTTGGGCCGGGTGCTTGGTATCAAATTGAAGGTAGAATGGAGCAACACTTGTACAAAAAAAATTTAGAAACCTACTTGCAAAGTACCACACAAAATTACAACTTAGATCCTACTAAGGTGGTTTTTCAACATGATAATGATCCCAAACATACGGCAAAAAGTGTTCAGTTTTGGCTATCTTCACAGCCATTTCAGCTCCTTTGATGGCCAGCTCAATCTCTAGATTTGAATCCAATGGAACATTTTTGGGCCCTTCTCAAACAGCGTTTAAGCCAAGTCACTCCAAGGCCAAGAGGTGTTCAAGAATTGTGGGAGAATGTTTGTAGTATTTATCCTAGTTTTGATGCAAAAGATTGTGAGAAACTATACAAAAGTATGCCAAGAAGGATTTCAGCTGTTTTGGAAGCAAAAGGTTATTGGACTAAATATTGAAGTTTGAAGATTTTCTTTGAACAATACTGAGTACAAGACATAGTTGTTGATTTGACTTTGTAGAAGGATGTTTAGTTATCAATTTGATGTGCAACTTTGTACGTGTGTACAAGACTGTGTGTATTATTCCATGTAACTTTCAGATTTATAAAGCAATCATTGAAATTTTTGTAATTGCTCTTGAAAGTTGGCACTTCAGATTTTGTACTCGGTTTTGTTTGTCACTGTATATATATTCGTGATGTTATTTGACGGAAAGTAATAGATATTTAAAGTTGATAATATGATGGATGATATTATTAACGAAGATATGTACATTTAACATCTCAGATGATAATTTTTTAACACATTACCATCATTGCAATTAATTGTTACTTAGCTTAAGAATGTTGGAGTAAATTGCATTAGAAGTTCAAATATTAAAAATGTGTTTAAAAAACCATGATATAGTTTTTTACATTAAATGAAAGAGGAGAAATTGATCTATAATTTCTGAGTATTTCTGAAAAAACAACATAGATTTAAAAAGTATATTCTAATTCTTTCAGGCATATTCAAATTAAGTATTTTTATCAGATTTCAACATTAAATTCTTTCTAAATAAATTTATGAATCTTGAAGTTTATTTTCATTTTATGTAATTTTATAATATGAAATATTGAAATATACATATTTTTTTTATTTAAATATTTAAATATTATTTATTTTGATAATACTGTATAACACTTGATGCATTTGATATTAATAGATAGCCCCTCCCCCCCCCAAAAAAAAAAAAAAACTCAATAAAAGATAGATAATTGAAATATTTAAAATTAATGGTGTTATTACTTATAGTGAGAAGAAAATGTTTTCTCAAGAAATCATTTATTAATCTTAATCAGGACCATATGAGACCAATTCAAATCTATGACATTTGATATTGTTCTTTTTGAATGTTTAGTTAAACTTCTTATAGTAAATAAGATACATTTTTATGCTTAACACATATTTGATTTGTGGCCTTAAGAGCTACAGATTTCAATTATCTTCTCTCTAAAAAAAAAACTAACTTATGAAAGGTTCTAAACTTTTATATAACAAAATTTCTATATGAGAGAAACTTAATTTAGTATAAATAATCATTATGTGGTCACTAATTTAACTGAGTATTATGTGTGTAATATTGGTTGTTTAGAATGAACTACTAGAATTTTGTGATTAGATGAACTATTACTAATAATGTGTTGAACTTTTTTCATATATATGTATATGATATTATTAAAGTTATTTATTCAACAAAATATAATTACCTTTTCTCTATATCAATGGATTTTTCTATTTGGATTTTAAATTTCTAAGAACTATTTTTATGCTTTGAAACTTAGATGATGATAATACTAATAATAACAATAATACAACATTATGTATAGCTACATTAATTATTCTAATTTTAATTTTGGTGTATTCTAAATTTAGATAGTTATATAAAATTTCTACTTTGTTTCCTTTTTCTTTTAAATTTTTAAAAAATAGAAAAATAGAAAAATAGAAAAAAATAGGAAAAGGTTGTATATTTTAGTTATTATTGAGTTTTTTTTTTGTTTTGGTTCTATTTTTAAATTAAAAATATTATATTAATTTTCAACAGATTCACAAAGAGTTAATATATGTTATTTCTTAAATATAAGTAAGTTTGTTAGTCTCTAACCAACAATTGCTTCAATTAATGAAAATCATTTCTTAATGCCACAAGCAGGAAATATGTAATTTTTATATCTTTCACATTTTTTATGGTATTTTTATTCATAATTTTTTCGTTAGTTAATACTATGGTAATATAATTTTATGTTATTTTAATTTCAAAAAATAATTAAATAATTAAATAATGTATTTAAAAAAAATTGTGGTTATATGCGGGTTATTATCTAGGTTTAAAAACCAATGTTCTTCCAACTCAAACATGATAATGCTATTATTAATTTGTTTTTTCATGCTATTTATTTTTTAGAATTACTCTGAATCTAAACATATGCATGTGTCGCTTTCTTTAATTTCAATAGTACAGGTTATAGTATCCCAAAATTTACATTTTATATTTATAATAGTTAAATTGAAAAAATAATATTCCGTGTTTTTTAAAGATATGACAACAGTCATGTTGACACTAGATCTACTACAAAGTAAAAAGTATAAAAAGTAAAAAAGTAAAGAAGTGATTTTTTCCTCTAAAAAATACATGCATATTTTCTATGCATAAAAAATGTCCAATTTTGATACTTTATCTACTAAATTATCCTTTAAATTTTGAGCGTACATTTTCGGATGAAATTAATTCAACTTTTTTAAACCTCCCAGCTCAAACCCTAAACCCTAAACCTAGGAAATGTGAAGATGGGATTCCATCTCCGTGCTCTCGCAAATTGGCACTTGCAACAGTTGGATGTTTCATGTTATCTGGCACTTGTATGCTTGTGATCTCCTATCTTCATGCCCCTATTACAAGAGTACTTCTTAGGCTCGAATCTGTCCGCAATCCTCAGCTTATTTGAAGAACAGTATCATATCGCTTGTTGTGACAAATTTAAATAGTGGGAACTGCGGACAGCACAGGATTTGCAAGATGGTTTGGTGGTTTTTTTGAAAACGAAATTATAGGCAACAGAAGTGCTGTATCATTCCAATCATAGTTATATGTCATACATAAACCAATTCCAAATCTGCCGCTTAGTAAATAGATTATGAGATCGGTTTAACGGTAATCAGAGCCTTTGAATAATCATGCGCCAGAGTGTATAAAGTGGAATTTTCCATTCCGACGTTGGTCTGAAAGCTTGCATATGATTGAAATATACAAATGCCTGTATGTACGATCAATCAGATACTGCTAATTGAAAAAATGTTTCAAAATGTATCCATTCGTCACCCAGTTGCAAAGAGAGCAGATATTTCACTTGAATTAATAATATACACTTGCACTAACATCAATGAAAGTCAATTAAAGTTATCTACACTGTCGGTACTAATTGTGGATTGTAAAGATGGAAAATCTAGTTGAAAAAGTATGGGGCTTTAAGAACCTCCCTGATGTCCAGGACTCCACGTTCAGGGACTGGAGGAAAAGTTAAGTCAGCATAACGTCTCTGAAACCCTAGCAATAACTGCAACCAAGCAAAGAAAACAAAAAAAAAAATCAGATGTTTTTATCATAAGCACACTTGTTTGAAAGACATATTTTGAAAACGACTAGTTCTGTAAAAATCGAGTAGAAACAACCTTGAGCAGTTTCATAACAAAAACTGCCCTTACAATCATCACTACACATGCTTGAGAAGCTACACAGGGTGATTGCTCACATTTTCAAGAATGGGATAACTATACAGCTCCACAAACTTCTCCCGTGTAAGTTTATTCAAAACATCGACATCTCCTGCATGCGTCCAGAAGGAATCATGCACCCCTACAACACGTCCCTCCACTGAGCAGGATTAGACAAAGTGGGAAAATATTTTACTAGAATTTTCGATTTATTCGAGGGGTCAAGGCAATCACCAGGATGGTAAATTTGGATAAATACATTTTAAGAAAAGTTGATCTGTTTCAAATATTTACTCAGGAAGAAACCTACCAGCGAAAGAAATCCCCGCTTGATTGGAGGCAAGTGCAGTCAACATCATGTGGGTGCTATCAAGGGAGTGTATAAAATTAGGAGCGAATGCACTTCTCTGCCTCGTTTTCAGGACTGGGCTGTCAACATCAACTGACCTAATATGAAGATCTTGAAGCGCAGTTTTCACCTGAACATATAGACACATGGCATCAGTTATCTCCAACGAAAAGTTTCCAGCATAGGAATTAACAGAGTTAAATACAGTTCTCAAGGCAAGTCTTGCGTAGTGAGTACACAAGATTATTCCGTATCTGCGTAGAAAAGAGAGTCTGGGTTGTCAATACCAGATGTCTACTAGGATTCCGATAAGGTTGGACCACTTCAAGCCCCAACGGTGTAGTCCATTTTACAGAATTGCCAGAATGAGCAATGATCTACAAAGGAAGTATCACCTTGGTGAGGGATAAAAGCTTCACAGGTGCTTCCAAAACTCGAACAGAAAATTGATGGTCTAGATCAGTTAAATTCACGCCTATTCAATAGACCAAAGTGCACTCTTATCCTAGCAAATATTTTGGCTTTGATGGTTGATATATTACCTACATCATGCATGACTAGTAGCACAAACACTGAGACCAATGTTAGTAAAATCAACAAATAAACTAGAAATCAGGCCTGCAAGCTAAGACAATGTCTTAGCTGTACTTAGAAGGTACAATACTTCAGTAAGAGTTATCCTACCTGAGCACATTCGGAAAGCCAGTTCATGATGCATCGTGCCTCCCTAAAGCCCTCTCCTAAGGCATCAAGCGTTACCTGTACATCCCAATCCCAAGTTGGTTCCTTAAAACAAATAAAACATACTGGAGCACGAACGGCCAAATCAAAGCCTTGAGTTCAAGGAAGGGTATCACATTAACAGTTGAGTTTCACCTTAGCAGCATAAACAGAAGCTTTGAATAGTTCACCACCATCTTGTATAATGCCTCGCTCCTTGAGGCGATTCAAGATTTGTATACGTGCACCCACAAACGTAACACCATATACTGATGTCATTATAGTTTGCTTTACGAGCTTCCTATCTATCTGCAAACAGATAAAAGAAGGTCGTTACATTTAGGCACAAAAAACTTAAACCAAGCAGCACCGCTAAAACGCACAAATTCTTGAACATGTTCATAAACACGACGTTAATGCATACACATACTTGTCCAAGTAGAACCCGTGCAATCGCTGCATGTTTACTGGCCTCGGGGTTCTTCAGAGCTGCTTTCTCTATAGTCCGGTGCACTCTGTCCAATCCATAGAACAATACAAAAATTTAAAACTGTGAAACTGCAATTTCACGACCACCAGATACAGTCCAAACCACTCAATATCATAGTCACCTGACCTGGAACTGTGGACATGAAGTAATTATCCTTTAAAAATTCCATTCAGAAAATACAGAAGATAAAATAGGCTTTATGAGAATCATAACTACTGAATTTGTGAAAACAAGTAGAAGGTTATACCTGTCTGCAATAGCTGAGTAGACATCAGCAGGTACGTCACCAGCTAACAAATTCACAGTCCCAGCACCAATCTGTAAGTTCAAGCAACGTGTTGAGTTTCATACCCTCTACAGAGGAGAACCAAGATGATCAATTTAAAAAGATAAGCACCTATTGCAAGAAGGATTAAATTATGATTGCAACATGTGCTCGATAAACATCAACATGAGAAACTTCTAAATCAGAAATAATAACTTTGAAAAATTCCCGTACCCGATCTCGCCCAAGGGCTGCATAATGTTGCAATCCATTACATGAACCATCCTGCATAACCAGATGTCTGTTAGAATGTGAACGCAACTCCCCATGGGTGGGATTACTGTAACAAATACAATAGGTTGAGAGCGTTCATGAAAGCACCTCACCTGATGAACAGGCAGAAATGAATTGTACGTCTTCGGATTCCCAGACTTAACAGCATTTCGTATATCAATGCAAGCAGCCAAAAATTGGAAAGGATCTTCTGCCTTTAGCCACCATCTATTTCCATTCATAGGATTCTCAGCGGAATCGAAAACATCATCCATATGGGTATCAACATGAGCAACTCGTGCATCAAATGATAACTTGCTAATAGATCCTCCATAAAGGTTCGCAAGGTGTATTTTCAACCAGCGCAGACCAGTTTCGCCGAGTGGTCTTCCCTTCGCAAACTCAAGTACTCCACGACACATATCTGATCCCAAGTGGTTAAGATTTGGGTGCATAGGATAGGCTCTTCCCCGAAAATCTAAGTTGTGTGGCAAATAGAATGCATCTTCATTCACTAATTTCCTAGCCACCTGTGATAAACCAAAGTTAACCATCCCGAAAAACTTTTGTTAGCTATTATACAAATAGAAAGAAACTCCAGACTAAAGTAAACAAATCACAACTTCATAGTAAAGCTTACACTATTCCAACGAAACACGATACAACACAACTAAACGTTGTTTCCAAAGGTCACATGACATAACCCTTAAAAGAACATACAAAATTAGCTCCACAAAAAAACTACACTACTCCATATAATGATGCTCGTTTGACGCCACTAACATCGTCATAAGAGTACACGACTTTCTGTGTGAGAAATCCAATATAAATGAATAATCCCTAGAAAATACTTGTTCGTGTACGTAAAGATGCTGAGGTATGATTCCTATACTCTGCTCTACGAAGCATTCTCCACGTAGTATCTATTACCAAGGTATACATGCGCAATCCTTACAGCAAGTTTAAGCTCGACATCGCAGCGCAAGGAGTACCGCTCGTAGTTAGTGCGCTTCACAATTCCAACTTCCCTCCTCCAGCTCTTTAGCTCATCCAAGTTGTTGGTCTCAGGTTTAGCTGGCACAAGGACCTTCATGCAAACAAGACGTCGCAATCAGGGAAATATACATTGTGTAAGAAAGACTAAATGAAAGCAGGTTGTGAACTGAAAAGGCATGCCTCAAAGTCCGTGAAAGCTACGTGCATCAACCTAAGAGAAAAAAAAGTCACGTTACTCTGTCGAAAGCTACAGCTGAAAACGAAAAGCAAAGTTAAGGAATTGATATGAATTTTAGACTCACATCCTCGGCGTCTACCAAATTGGCTAAACGTCCACCTTCTTTCCAAATCTGCTCTAACACAGCAAGAACTGGCTTGTTCACTCTCCATCCAGTTTCTCCGAGAACATTCAGCGCCTACACAAAATAGGGACTTTAGTTCTGACATTCAATTGGGAACTTATAACACTCGATAGAGGAACCATTAGCATGTTGCTCGAATTACACACTATCCACCGAAACAAATAAAAGATAGATGGGCATTCTGAAGTTAAATGAAACACGTACCTGGAAAATCTTTTTCATATTCTCGCGAGGAGTATTTTTGAAGATATCATACTGCTCCTTCGAACCATGAGTCCTCATTATCGAAGACTTAAGAAACAGGTAGCCCCCATCATGGAACCTGGAGAATGACCGGGTAATGAAGATTAGGACTAATCCTTCAGGGACTCAGTGTCAAGAAAATAACAGCAGGTTTATGAAATTTCAACAGTTGCTCACCCCTTCCAATGCTTGGGCTTTGAAACCATGGGCATATACGGCATTATCACGTACTTAACCGACTTGTCTATTTGTTCTAGGACCAAAGGATTGCACTCCACAACACCAAAACCTGTAGATGATCTGCCACTGCAAAAGTAAAAATAAAATATAAACATAAATGTAATTAATACTAAAGTCAACATCAACTCATGACGCGTCAAAACCTACAGAAAATTGTACAAGAACGTAGATGTGATCCAATAGAAATGTTTTTTTGATGGTGAGGAACTACATACTTCGTGCAGACAAACTTCTTATTTGTATGTTGAAAAACAGGCTCGAAAGAAGCATCAACGTGAGGATCGTCGCTCGGAACTCGTATAACTGCAGTCTCCATAAAAAGCTCCAACAATCGACTGCCCACCTGAACATCATTACTTGAAATTTAAGAGGGTAGTTGAATTTTCTAAGGCAAAAAGTAACCTAGTTTCGTGTAGTAAATAAGGTAACAGAGCTAAGTATGTATTTGAACTGATAAAAAATCAGCAACAAATATACAACATTGGCTAGCAAACAAAGCATCGAAAAATTTCGGAATTAAATGCATTCTCAAAAACCCAACCTTTGCATAAATTGTAGGACCCCAAGGGTCGCTTCCGCTGGCTTTTTGCAACATACTTCTCCATAATCTCAGCTTCCGCAATTTTTGCATTCCAGTAGCTTGAGTGGGCAGTTCCGGGCTGGTAGTAAGCTCAACCTTGCCAGACTCTATGGTACTGATTCCATCATCCTTTGTTATGCCTTTCCTCTTCGTTTCGTTCTTCTTAGCTTTGCCTATCCGCAATTTACGAATCAGAACCTGCGAATAAGCCGCTCCGTGTTAGAATGAAGTTCGGTTCAAACTAAAAACGGAGGCCTTTGATATGTTCGCGTAAAGGGACATACTTAACCTTAATTGAGAAAAGAAAACCACCCAACACCAACCCTAATTTACCTCTTGTTCTACCGCTTCTCCAATGTGAAGAGCAGCCTGAATGACTTTAACATACCCCATCTTCTCATTGCTCATGACTAATGCCAGTAAGCAATGCATCGTGATCACCGCCAACTGAGACGGAGGCAACTGGCACAGAAATGGACCATATGAAGCACGTTCACCACGGAACTCCAATTCTGAGAAAGCTCGCTGCTCTTCTGCGATGGCATCCCTCAAAGGCTCATACCATCCAAGAAGAAGCAATTGGGAGGCCGGCAAGTTCGGAGCAAGTTTCTTTCGACACATTTCCGCTATAAATTCTTCATATTGAGCTTCTGCATTTGTCCATGCCTCCGTCTCATTTATTATTTGTCTCTGACGAAGTTCCTGGAGCTTGTTATGACCCTTCTTCCTTTCCATTTCTTTAGCTTCAACGGCTGCGCCAGCATGCTCCGACATAAAGAACTCAATTCCTCTTTCATCATAATCAACCTCGGTTCCTTCATACGGATCTCCATATCCAATATATTCAGCAGGTTCAGCAGTGCTTGAAAACACAGCACTACGGTAAGGATTCAAAGACCTGAAATAATCCCTGTTATCATATCTAGACACAACACCGAGGAGGGCGGCGTCAAGGATGTCTTCCAGAGGTGTGTTTAGCTGTGACAAGATGGAGGAGTCAGGTGAGAATATATGATCTGAACTGCTACCACAAAGTCTGTCGACAGTTTGCACTTCCGCTGTCGCAGAACACAATAGCCTATGCTGCGCCAATGCGTATAAGTCAACTTGCGCAATCCTTGACCTGCTGCCTCCACAATGCAACAATTCGCTCTTGAAATATCGTGCCGCAGCCCGCCACATAGTATTCAACTCAATATGCGAGGCATTCTTTTCAAATCTCTCTGTCTGTTACACAAATGGTGTTCGGTTAGTAAAGCAGACGTCTGCAGATTTTCACTGAAGCACAAACATTTTCATGTTGGGGCAACAGAAGGCGAAAAATTACCCAAGAACTATCTAGCAATAGAATTTGAATAGACAAAGTGTGGAAATCCTTGTCAGGACTTGAGATTATAATTGCCGAGATTGAAACCCGAACAACTGCCTCGTCACAGACAATCATTACTCAGAAGACTTGACATTACCAAATTGCTGTGATACGGGTTTGTGATAGAACCATAAACCCCTATCAACCATCTTAAAGAATGTTCGCTCAGCTTTACGCAAAGATCTGAGTCCAGCAAACTAAAGACTCTCAAAAGCATAAAAAGGACCATACTAAACCCCTCAAGTAAAAAATCTCAGACTTAGAACTTGACGTTTCCTCCTCAGAACTTGGCATTCAAGTCGATTAAAACAACCCCACAAATGTACAGGATAGAATTAAAAACATTAAATTCTCAAGCACTGCTTTTCACTATTTAAGTAATTCAGTGTTGATAATTCAGCAAATAAATGGGAGATGTTAAATCTAACTTACCTTTCAAAGGTCACCAAAATTTAAAAGCATTCAGACACATGATCGAAACAAGGCAATTTACGAAATCTATAACGCATACTGCGATTCTAAGAAGCTTTCCAACATTCTTAACACCATCGGACCAGGACCAGAACCAGCCGTACATTCACACCAAAAGGAGGCGGAGCGGTTGAAGAACCGCATATTTGAGTTGCAGTGCTGAGCTGAAGAAGAATAAATTTAGACCACAGTCACGAGGATGCTCAACGTGACATTGAACCAAGTCACGACACCATCGACAAAAAAATTGGCGAACCTAGACAATTGTAAGATTCACGAGACCCTTTTGTCTCTCGATGCAATTCAATTTTGTTGGAACACGTCACCTTATCACCGAGAATGATTTTCAGAATACAGCAGGCAATATCGATTACAGCGAAAGGAAATCCAAGAGACGACGAGGACACAAAGCGGTGAAGGCAGCAGAATCGATGAAGTCCGACAACGAGGGGCGTAGCGCAGCCGCGGCGAGAGCCAGAGAGGGAGAAAGGCCAACCTGCAAAGCAACGCAAGCAGAAATAAGAGAGAGAGGGAGCTGAGGTTGAAATGGAAAGGGAGGAGGTGGAGGACGAGCACAGGGAAGCGGTTGGGAGCAATGGAAAGAAGAAGCAGAAACAGGAGAAGAAGAGGAGGCCAGAAAAGAAGCCAGAAACACAGTGGAAAGCGGGGCAGCAGTAAGTGAAAGTAAAGTAAGCTAGTAAAGTAAGTTAGTAAGTCCCGACACGGCAAATACAGGGCAAGTAGGCACCACCTAGACCAGACCAGGGCAGGGAAGGGAAGGGGAGGCTAATTATGGCATTACGGGAGCGGGGGTTGATGGCTTGCACCGCTTACGTGGACTGCCTGACTAACTGACTGACTGACTGTGGTTCCTTTTTATGGATGACGTGGCGGAACCAGGGCGGACCAAGGCGGGGCAGCGTAGCGCCAGGGTGTCCTCACCCCCACCCCGTCACCAGACCCGAGCCTACCGCCGTTGCCGAGGTTGGATGAAAACTCTGTGGGCTCTACCAGTGCCACCCGCTCCTGTACATACATACATACATATGTATATTTTGTATTCCATAAGTAAGGATGTGAGTGGGCATCGACACCCTAGCTCATGAGATTTGTTTCCTGGTGTACCAACTCACCCATACATTCAAGTGTGTCTGTCTGGCTGTCTCTCCAATTGATTGATTCCCCTCAAGTGTTTCTCATTACAAGGAGAGAATGGAATGGTAGAATAAAGTTTTAAGGGTGCTTAAGAAACCTGATACCTGGTCCTTCTTGTGTCCTGTTGATTTTTGTGTTACTAATTCTTTCCGCTGCTTTTTTCCTGTTTTCCTGGCTTCTGTTTTTTGTTTTTTGTTTTTTGTTTTGTTTTTTATTTTATTTTATTTTTCTACACTGTGTGCTGTTTAAGTCTGTAGTTTCTTCACAGTAGCATTACTGGCCTCCCCCTGACGGCTTCTTCCTCTTCGCAGCATCTTGATTTTCATATTGCTGATTATACGAATGGTTTCATGATTTTCGTAAGCCTCTTTTGTATGTGTATACATTACCAATTTACAGTTTTGTTCTTCCCATTTGCTTTATTTTTTATTTTTGTTTTTGTCGAATTTGTGTTCCTCCTCCTCTCAAACTCCTCATCATTTAATTACTATAAAGTCAATTTTTATTTTAGCTCAATTTAGTTTTCTCTGCTACCACCAAGGAAAGAGGAGAATGTTTGTAGTGTAGCATGGAGTAGTCCAATATAGTATTATCTGGATAAGGTTTTTCAAAACAATTGTAGCCACTAGGAATGTGTGTACAATAAATTGCTTGCAATACATCGTGAGCAACTGCATTGGCTATAAAAATATTGCATTAAAAAAACATGAAGCAACTAATTAATACAATGCAAATATTCCAAGAATTGAAGAGACATTAGAAAATGGAAATGATAAACTAAAATCTATACTTCATTTACACACACACACACACACACACATATATATATATATATATATATATATATATTTAATGTCAATACTAAAAATTAATATTTGAACGAATCAATCATATTTGTAGAAAACATAATCTTACTTATGATTTTATGAACAGAACATCCATTTAAGAAATATTCACATTATGTTATTTTTTTATAAAAAAATTGACCATTTTTTTAATATTAAAATAGCTTTTATCTAGGATGTCACTTTTGCAATATATTGATAATATTTTTCTCTATAAATTTTTTTCTAAAACTAATTTTTCTATGTACTAAAAGATATCAATAATTCCATATCCATGGAATAAAAAGAATTTATATATATGTATATAGAAGATATCATAAGTATTGAAAATAATACATTCTGTATTCTCCCATATATTGACAAAACAATAAGAGAAAAGAAAAGAAAAAAAATAAAGGTACTTTTTTATATACTTTAAGTATTTATAAGCAAAAGTGTGTATATGCTAGAATTTGACCCCCTTGCTTTGATTTAAATGTAATTTATTAAAGCAACATGACCCCAATTTGTTTATGGAGAAGGAAGAAACTATTTGCTGACAAACTTGTTTTTAAAAATTATGTCACAACAACAAAAAATTAAAAAAATAAAGGTAAAACATCAATCAAAACACAACATATAATATCTAATCATGTAACATTTAAAGTATTATTGACATTACGAAAAAATAAAAGTAAAAATCAATATCATGGATTATATTTTTGAATTCTATCTGACCTTAATATATAAATTATTTTCTTAAACATAATATGTATGCTATTGCATTATTTCATTAATTTGATATTTTATTATTTGTAACAACTCAAGAATCTAAGATTTTCTAAATATGCTAATAAATTTGTTTGAGATAGTGTTCATATATTTTTTTTCTACAATTACATTTTACAATAAATCTTACAAAAAATCCTTGTAAAGTACATTTACTTAATATATACATAGTTAACAAACAAAGATACCTATTTATCTCTGCATACATGTATATTATTCTCAAAGCCAGATTTTTTATAATTAAAAAATAACAATAAATTTAAGATATATATATATATATATATATATATATATATATATACATGCATGCATACGTAAACATATGCTCTTATCATTAAACAAATGATAATTCTAATTAAAATTCTAATTAAAATTTACATTTACAAAACTAAATTTTCTGAGTGAATGTGTGTGTATATATATATAATGTTATTAAGATAGTATGTCAGTAGATAACCACAATGTTTGTGAACACTGTATTAGTAAATTTTTAAAATATTGATACACTTGTGCACACATGAAACGTGTGATATTCATTCAACACAAAAACATGCAAAGAAAGAATAATTGGTATACTACCAACATGACTAACAAAATATTGTATAATCTTTAAAATAACAAAGTATATCTATGTTGCAAGGGTATGGTATGTAAGGACCTTATATTTAAGAAAGTGAAAGTTTCATATTTGAACTAAAGGAATCTAATTAACTATGTGCAATTTCAATGCTTGGTTTGAAAATTTAAAAGATTTATCCTATTTCAATGTATATATTTTTAATTTAAATATTTAAAATAACTTCACAATATATACAACATTATCAGGTTATTTTTTAATGATGTTTAAACTATACTAATAAAATTACTGGCAAAACACCTCTATTAGAACATCTGATCGAGGAATCACAGTGTATTATTTAATATGGGATATGGATTTTTGCTAAAAAATCTACTTATTAACTGTAACAGCTACCAGTCAATTTCAAGTTTGCAAAAAGCAGAGCCTAACAGAATTTGAGTAGACATCTTGTTTTGTTAACTTTATTTAGTTATTTTGTTTTATTTTTTCACTGTGGATTTATAAGTACATGATTGAATACAAATGTTAAATCTTGTTATTTACATGTATGTATGTATATATATGGATTTGTGTGTTTTCCATCAAGAATAACATAATGCGGGTTCTCAAATAAAAACACAACATTTTGGCCCTGCAATTGAAATCAGTGCGTGCTCGGAAAATCAAGATAATTGAATTAAAATTTAGCCGATGTGGAAAGAGGGACATATTTAATGGAGACTATTACATTTGATTGAAAATGCCTTTTCAATTAGATGAAAAATATGGACGAACAGATTAAAGAGGAAGACGAACGAGTAAAGAGACAAAGGATGGATGAGGCAGATGGATGCGATGGTCGGATGATATGAATGGATGTCATGAATATGGATGGGGAGATGGATGGATGGGAGGGAGGAGTAGGGAAGAGGAAGGGGAAGGGAGCGGAGAGCTCTGGCTGTCCTTGCTTTCAGTCTTTTCCTGTTTGCCTGTCTTTCCCTCGTCCTCTCTGGTTCTCCTCTCGTGCTGCTCTGTTGTTGTTTCACAGCAACACCAGATGATGCTTTATTAGCTGCGACGATGCTGCGCGCACTCTGTGGATGCTCCATGTCCTGCTGATGCTGCTCCCTTCCTTCCCTCCACTCCCTCTTCGTCCCCTTCCCCTTCCCACTCCCTCTCTACTCCGCTCCCTCCTTTCTCTTCCTTGTGGCTTGCTGTGCTGTGCTGTGCTCCCGTTCGATCATGACGCTCAGCTTGCAGCTTGCCCCCTCCTCTTCGCACCTCCAGACCACCACCTCCTCTTCTGCTTCTTCTTCTTCTTCTTCTGTTTCTGCGTCTTCTTCTGCTGCTTCTTCATCTGCTTCCTCGTCCATTTCCTTCCCCTCCCCAACTCCCTCCATTTCCTCCCCCCCGCACCTCTCCGCACTCTCCATGGGCCCTGCTGTCCAACCCTCTTCCTCTCCTCCACCCGGTGACGACGCTTCCGTTTCTCCGCCCACCATGCCGCCCCCGAAGCCCAAACCTCGCGCTTCCGCTCGAGTGCCGCTCGAGAAGGGCTACAGCCAAATGGTCTGGCTCCGTCTCCTGCAAACTGAACCAGACCTAGCAGGTCACCCTAGGCTCCTCACTCCTCCCACATCCACGATTAATTTCTCCTTCTGTCTGTTCTTCTCTTCAGGTTCTCATGAATGATATCTTCTCGTCAGTCTCTGTGCTCCCGATCGTTCTTCTTAGCATGATTTTTGGGGTAGATCTCGTGGTTGAAATTCAAAGGGTCAAAATGCAATTTAGCAGGACGCATCAAGGGTGTACCATAGTTGAGTCCCGTGGAAATGAACCACTTCCTCCTGGGTCTGATATTACGAAAACTTGCTTCGGGTTTCACGCGGAATTTTTTTCACGATATGCTTGGTGAGAGAATGACGCTTCGATAACCACCCCTGACGCACACACACACACACACCCGTTCACGATCAACTCTGCTCTCGGATTTGCGAATGATTCTTTTGGATACTAGTGCCTCTTCGTCACCGCCTTGATATCTCTGCTGGTACTCTCAATATGTTTAGGTTTAAAAGGACAGTCTCCCAAGAGATTGATACCCATGGAGGAAGTGAAGCAACACAAAACCGAGGAGGATGCGTGGACTGTGCTGCGAGGACGTGTCTACAATATTTCTCCTTACATCCGCTTCCACCCTGGAGGTTTGCAGTTCTCTCAAATTTTCAATTTGCATTGTTCGCTATGGAATGGTTCTATAATCAGAATGCTTAATCACTTGATATTGAAGTCGTTGAATTGGCCGGTTTTACTAACAGTTGCAATCTTGGTCCTTCAACCTTGGTTAGAGCATCGCAATCAATTATTCAAAATGTGCGATTGACCTAGTTGTGAGCAACATGCTCTTGTCAATTTGAGTGTGCTGTGATAGTGTGCTGCAGCTGTAGCAAAGGAATAGCACCTTTGTTATCATGCTTGGGAGGACAATGATTGCATGGGTACTAATGTCGCAGAGTCATTTCTGCTGTGAAGTTTGTGAGTCTCATTGGATGTTATGCGCGTGCTTTTAATTGGTGTCAGGCAAAGACATGCTCATGAAAGGAGCTGGAAGGGACTGCACAGCACTTTTCAGTATCCTCATTCTTTTTATTGTCTCGTGTTGCTTGAAAACTTTGACTTTGTGTTATAGTGGCTTTATTGATTATTTGGAATCTTCTGATGATTTCATGTACGGCTGTTGCGCATTTGAAAGCTGTATGATAGTTGTGTTTGTAATGTGCGTTAGGACTTGACTAAAGTTTTTTCCAGACAAGTATCACGTATGGGTGAACGCGGAATTCCTGATGGAGAAGTGCTTGGTAGGCATCTTGGACGTCCCTCAAACGTCATGATCTTTACATCTTCTGCTACGAATGATGTTCTGACAGCATTCTCTTGTGCCTATATGAAGTATTATTTTGTTTGCAGCTCAAGCACCGCCAGTTATGGGTTTAATGCTCCTCTTTCTTTGGCTGAAGATTGGCCCACGTTAACCGCATCGCAAAAGCAGGATTTTCATTACCCAATTAATAGAAAAGTGAGGGAACAATTTTGTATGAAGAAACACATGTGTTTCTCAACGAAATTGTAGCACTTGGGAGCTCAGAAATGAAACCAGATCCTTTGAATATGTTTATACATCTCATGGTTATATTTTCATCAGCTGTAACAAAAAGCAGTTGTCTAGCAGTAAGTTATTCAGTAGGAATATGCAAATTATATTGATCACAGAATCATAGTACTTAAATTCTGCTTGTATTCTAGGGAAATTGTTGATCTTGAAGCCTACTAACCAGGCGGTATTTTGTGATTCTTGCCATAATGTAGGAAGTGGTTTTAGGTTCTTATCAGACGTGTGTATGAAGAAGCATTCATGGATATCATAATCTAAAAAGGCTATGTTTTTTGATGGAATGCTACACTCAGTTTAATCAAGGAGGCTTTCTCTTAATACTTGCGTTTTCATTTTTTTATAACAAATGATTGCTGATGATGTTCAGGTTTGTTGTGACTAACCAAATTCTATCATCATCTTATTTTTTTACATGGTACCACTAATGACTTGACCAAGTGGATAGCTGAATGAAGTCAGCAATGTGTCACATTCGTTCTGATTTTGCTTTAACCACAATCTGCGCAAAGTGACTATCATGTTTGATTCATGCTTTGCAGCAGTTCAGTATGTTGGTGTTACCTACAATTGAAAATAACCAGCAATGAGCTGGATTTGTTTACTTTTGAACATTCGAAGGGTTTCTAATATTTTACTGTAATGGCATTGTTCTCAGATGAGTGTCCCTTCTAGCATTTGTCAAGTGTATGATAAATTAAGCACACATGTGGATATGGTTCTTGAATTAGCCTGTCAAAGCAGTGAAATTTGTGAGTTTGGAGTGAATACTAGGAAAGAGTGAATGCTGATTGGAGAGAGCGAGGAAGATTTTGTAGCGGAGGACGTCTGTCCAGCGTGGACGCCGATGAGAAGAGTAGAGGAGACTAAGATAGACGGAAGAGAGGGGGGGGGGGGGGTGAGTCTGAGTTTGTAAAAGAAGACGAAGTGGAGCAGAAAGTTCATCTGCTGCTCTCTCTGTGCTCATCGTCTTTGGTTGTGTTCCACCCTGTCTTGTCTTGCAAGCGAAATAAGGAACTTCGGTCGCCACTGTTGCCCGACATCCTGCTTTCACTTCCACCCACCCCTGCGATCGCGAACTTACACTTGAGCAGACCCACTATTCCCCAACGCCCCAACCCAGCCCCCTTCCATTTCCCCTCCTCGTTCTACCCCCACCCCACCCCATGCCACTCCTGCATCCATCCCATCCCCGCATTCCTCCTCCTCTTGCCCCGTTCGTTTGCAAACCTAGCTCCCCCTCTCCCTCGTCTTCCTCCTCCTCCTCCTCCTTCTCTTGATCATCTCGCTTATCCCACCGCTGCCGGATCCGCATCCTGCCTTGTCCTGTTCTTAGGGTTTTCTTGCTCATGTACCCTCACAGTATATAGGATTGGGCAGGGCCTTGCTGTCGGTTTCGCACTTCGATCTGCTTTTGCGCTGGTGCTGCTGATTCATCGCCAGCGAACTGGAGCATATGAATGGGTTGGCACGTCCCTGGAGTCCTTAGTTTCCTCACGCAGGCATGATTAGTGGCCTTCTCGCAGGTTCGTTCTTTTGGCGCTCATACTGGCACAAACAGCAGCTGCTAAACAGGAGTCTAGTATCGATGGGGCGGAGGCGGATGGAATTCCACCTTAACATTTGACCTCTCACTTTCCATTTCTTGGGCTGTGTATGGCACTGTGAGTATTACGCACCACGTCTTTGTGTCTCATCATTGCAATCATCAGTATATGTATGAACACCATTGAGGAAGTTGCCTGACGAAGATCCACTAGTTCCTGTTGGTAATTTAAAATCTTCCTGGTTGACCATCATTCACAGATTTTGTGATTTGACAGTACTCGCTTTACATTTGTCTCTGGGGCGCAATCATCGTCAATTTTCGTGGCGATGTCTCTTTTGCCTTATCTCCATGTTTAGGTTTTGCCAGTTGATCGTGAATTTGTTAAGTGTTTTTGTTCTGGCATCGGAAGCAGCTTGTGAATTTCATGCGCCACATCCGTTGAATTGGGTACTATCACGAGATTTTGAATTTCTAGTGCACTCATCGCATGTCCTCGGATGGTCTTGAGTAGTGATGAGCTCATAAGACTCAAGGGTGCCCTCGAAGGTTTTATGATGCGACTCGAGAGCCTTCGTTAGTTGCTTCTAAATTATTAGGGGTGGAATAGAGGTAATGCTGGTCACTTTTCTGCTCTGATTTGAAGTTGCTGGCATCGCATTGCACGCAAGGAAAGAGAAGTTGGAAGGACGTGCATCGAATTCAAACGTACATTTAGTTTCTAATGTTGATTCGTCGAAGGGTCTCGAAACTCATTCGTTGGGGCTAAAAATTTGACTCACACTTGAGCCTATACCTTACCCCAATGGTCCTCCGCCTCTTCGTCTGTTACACGTCTGTGGTGAGCATTTTTTGTGTCGTACATACGCTATCGCAGTACTCTTTTTCATCTAATCGAGGTAATCCATCCGATTTTTTGTTTCATTGCGTGGAAATCGGGTCGTGTCTGTACTCACGTTTATTGATGCGAAGATGTGCGATCTTTACAGGTTTGTAGCTCCACTACGGAAGGGTGGTAGAGGAAAATGCATCTAGTGAAAGGCGTATCAGCATTTTTACGCCGAAGCTCGCCAGGACATTCTCGTGGGGACGGGGACTGCGCAGGAGATAGATTGACTGCGCCTTCTTGGCCTGATATTCAATTTAGGTTTGTCTTCGCTTTCTCATTCGGAAACTGGAATTTAACTTACAGTTCAACACAACGTTATTGGGATGGTTTTCAGCCGAACATTCGATGCAACTTTTGTGTTAATTTTATTTTCTAAATTGTTATCTCGGATGTGCAGAAATGAGGGAGATGAAGCTTTCCTTGGATCGTTGTGGCAAGATTACCAAGAGGCACTGGGGCTGGTATGTTGTGATTTTTACTTGGTCTTAAATTTTAAGTTCGAAGACCAACTTTCGTGGAGTGGAATAGAGTGAAAGTGGAAAAGTCCTGAATCTGATTTAGTTCTCGTGTGCACATGATTTTCCTTCTATACTAGGGGTTGCTTGTCATGTACTTCTTAGTAGGGACCTCTTTTGCATTGATCCAAGGTGATAGATCGCAATTTAACGTTTCGAATTGTGAAATTGAAGACTTGACGATCGTCGGCGTCTCAAATGTTGTTTTATGACATTTCTAATTAAGTAAACAGTCGTGATTTGTCTGCAAATACCAAACTAATCCAGCTGTCGTGCCTTCGGATCTCAGGAAGAGACGCAAAAAACGCTAGAGTCTTTTCTGGATAATTTTGTTCGCACATTCACGGATTGGACCCCTGTCGAGGATCCTTGTCGTGGGGAAGTACTTGTTCAAGCGGCTGGAAATGAGGGTAGCATATACGGGGACAGTAGCAAGACAGTCGTAGGTTGCATACATGGACATCCAACGAAAGTCATCGTCGGACTTATACGAGAGCTGAAGGCTGTTATTCAGATTTTTTCTGCATGTAAGTATCTGCGGATGGATGGAGCGTAGAAGGAAAATAACAATTGCAATCCCTTAAATGAGGGTCTTGACATGTCCATTCTTAAGGAACTCATTCTGTACCTCCCTTCTGACAGTAGATGGTTTTTGTTGAAGATCCAGATTTATAGTTGTATTTTACCGAAAGTTACAGCAGTACACTCCCGGGAACATATATGTTGCCTCGCTCATTGCTGTTGTTTCTTGCCTTCGTTCATGCAGTAAATACGAATTCAGATGGCAGCTCGGATATGTGGCTTAATGAGGCTGACATGGCTATGTTTCTACTTCTTACTCAAGCTTTGAATATAGTGACCCGAGCTCCGCACAACCAGAGAATATTTTCATACTTTGGTGGTCTTCAGTCTCTGATGGGCGTGATGAAAGGTCAGTGAGCTTTATGTTCACTGTGTCAACGATTGTTCCTATTAGTTGAATGTTTATGTGATCTTGTGCCGTCAATGTTCCCTGTTCACGAGGGATAATGTTTTGTTCTGGTTTCATTTATTTATTTATTATTTAAAACCGTGTTTGGTTACTTTTTGAAGGATTACATTTTGTGCACCAAGAGTGAGGCTAGGTCATTCATGATATTCCTTACAAATGAACGACGTGGCACCTGTATTGTTTAGTTCAGATGTATCTCTTTCGTTTGTTAATTTTTGAAGTCCAGTTCCTGATTAAGTTTGCTCACTTATAACTTTATGATATGGTTGGTCGCAGCTGCTGTTGTCCAATTGAAGGTTGTAGCAAGTGTGGTCGTCTCTGATGACCATACGCCAGATTCAGTCACTTCTCAACTAAGCTTCCTGCAGACTTTGCTCAGTAACATAGTATCAATTGTAGCGAATTACATCGATTCGGAAGACAAGTACGACAAATCTTCTACGACCAATGAATCAAGGTTAGACAATTTTTGTTTCATTTTTCTCGACCATTCATTCAAATCTTCCAAAGGAGGCTATAGGATCACTTATTATCTCACAGGCAATTCTTTCACACGATAAATTAGAATGAGGAATTCTGACGTATCCCAGCGTGGCATAGTAGCTCATATTGAATCTGCGGTCTCCCTTAGGTGGTTGTATCAGATGACGCTGGTCGAAAGAAGTGTTCAATTGAGTTTTTGTCGCACGAGTTTTCCAATCGCGAAGATTTGATTTATGCACATCAATTCCTCTCCTTTGCCTGTCGTTGAAAAAAGTAAGGGTTTGTGGCAGAGTTCGTGAGTCATCGGACTTTTCAAGCAAAAGTCGGCGGAGTATGCACAGACGGTCATCTACCGACACTGGACTAGAAACTACTATTTCTCGGCAAACCTTGAAAGGTCAGGAAACCACGGGGAATAGAAGTAATCGCGAGGCAACTGGAGTTTCTAGCGGCACAGTTCCATTGATGGAGACTGGCGGACTGAATTGGTTCGTGGGTACGAATTCTTTTCCACCTCACGAAGCTTGTAGGTTTCCCTGTCACGTACAAATTAGGTTTATCCAGTTATATGAACTGTGTCTTTTAGACCTTATTTATGCAAATTTAGTACCTTTATGCTATCAAGTAAATGATTGAGGAAGCTAATGTTCTGTGCTTGGCACTAGTCTCTTGCTTGTTTGCTCAATCTGGTGTATCAAAGAATAATAAGTGAGGGATTAGCTTAGTTTTCCGTGTCTTACATTTCAGTGATTGTCAAAGTTTTGTCAAGTCAGGAAACCTTAATACTGTCTCTCTTATTGATGTCACCCCTCTCATTTCCCCTTCATCCAATCATCATGGCAATCTCCTCCAGTCTTCGTTTTTATCTTGAATCTCAGGTCATGCTAAGTAGTCCTTTGATGACAGATGCTTTCTTAGCAGATCATTATTCATATAACTAGTGTACTTATATTATCCGTTTCCTGCTACAGCTTGCTAACTTCTGAAGTATACCATGTTTTGAGGATCGAGGCAATGTTAGCTTGGCAAGCAGGGATCGTTTTAGTGTGGTTTATATAATCTATTTTTGTTGTTGTACAGAGCTGTTAAAAGTTCTTCGAAAATTGCGCCTGAAGGGTGTTCCATCAGATTCATCCCTTGAACAGCTTGTGCTTTACTCACTTAAACAGACGCTTGTGGGAAACACTCGATCACAGAATTTTTTTCGAGTTATTGGAGGTCTTCAGGTTCTGTTGGATGGGCTTGGAAGTCTGTCGCCGCAAGGTGATGTAGATGATGATGGGGCATCGAATGTTGTGGTGAGAAGGGAAAGAAACATTAGCGAGCCAGCCACCTCGCATGCAAAGGCCTCTATTGAGACAGCGTCAATAGAATTTGATTTGCAACTCTTATCTTTCCAGGTCTTGAGGGAAGCGATGTATCCTCTCCTTTCGTTCACATTGTTAGTTTTTGGTCTTTCATCTTCAGATTGGTTTGGGGGTCTCTTCTTCTTCTTCTTCTTCTTCTTCTTCTTCTTCTTCTTCTCTCTCTCTCTCTCTCTCTCTCTCTCTCTCTCTCGCTCTTTTGTTTTGTTTTTTTTTTGTTTTGGGTGACCTTAACTTTTATGCTTTCCGATCAGCTTTCGAAATCCGACAAGCCTGCAGAGTATGCGAGATCATGGTGGCGTGCAAAAATTTGCTCAGCTGATCAGTTGGGCAGCTTTTACGATTCCAGATGTAACTCCGAAGCTAAAGCTACCTTCTCAGGGTAATTTCAACAAGTCATTAAGGATGAACCTTTCACCCCATTCTCATTCAAAAGAAGAGGCACATGTGTCCTTTCCTACGTCACCAAGTGTATCACCAAGCAGCCAGAAAAGCATTCAAACGACTCCACCTCGTGACAAGGAATCCTCTTCATCTGGAGGATTTCAGGGTTCTGAAGATGTCCATGAATTTATTTATGAAGGTGTTACTTTGCGAAGCTGGAATTGGAGAGTGGCTGATCTGTGCCGGATTCTGTGTTCTGTCTTGGTTCCTGTTGGTGATGCAATGAAGTTTGCAGCAGGAATGCAAGGAGGACCAGATGGGGCCAGTAATTCAAGTCTTTATTGGGAGCTAGCTACTCGTTTTATTATTGATGTCTTGATTGATGTGTTTCAAGGACATGATGGTAGCTTGAATCAGATCAATAGAGGCTTATTCAGGTGTGTCTATTTTACTTCATGTACTTATTTGCTTCTGTGTGATGCTGCTAGATTACTATTATCGTAATTATTGCTACGGAAGTAGTACTTGTGGCTGCTCTAGTTAAGTATCGTTGGTTTGATTCGTTTCTTTTGCAATAGTTTTAGTAATCGGACTGTTTAGTTTCGTTGTTCTTAAAGCAGTTGTCTTCACTGAGATTACATATTTGCTGTACTATTTTTAGCGGATTATTGCCTTTTGTCTTTGAGGTCTAATCATCACAATTTTCCACTTTTATTTCCCAGTGGTCACAGGTTGCAGTCAACTACACTTCAACATTATGTTCTGCATGTATTCAAGAAGATGTTGGAGGGTACACCGACAGTGGTGAACTTGTTCCGCAAGGATGGTGTATGGGACTTGGTGTTCTCCGAATGGTTCTTCTACTTCGGATTTGGGGATTTGAATAGATCTGTTGAGAAAGAGAGAAAGAGCGGTCCAAAAATCGGTGATGATTCCCAATCTACATCGAAGATACAAAAAGCTTCAACTTCAGATGTGAATATTAGTACGGGGAATCTCAATCCTCGAGAATGTGTACTGTCAATCCATGTGTCTTCAGATACAGAGCCATTGCGCTTGGAAGTAATATCTTTTTTGGAATTGGCTGCAACTACCTCTGCCTTATCGGACAATCTGGTAATTATTGGCCGGACATATTGTCTTTTTAAAGGGGCTGCATGCTCAAAGAATTATTCTCATGATAATTTTGTTAGTGGTACGCACTCAGGGGTGTTAAACACGTGTGTTCTACCAGTGAAAAGGGGTTTTCCTCGTATACATGTTTTTTTACTTTTGAGGAATAATTTGTCTGAGTGATACTAAATTTTGCTGCATTGACAATTGTATGTTAAACTGATCTGACAATCCTTTGGCTTGCTGTAATAAATTTAGGTGATTAACTCTTATAGTTTGTGTACGAAGTTAGGTAGTGGAAGACAGTCCAAAAACTTATTGGTTAAGCACATGGGTACGACCTATTACTATTTGGTTATGAATGAAATTGTGGCCTCATCGATGGATGCGATGTGGATACGATTTACTTCAATTTGGTGGGGTTACTAACATGTAATTGCTGTTTGCGTTTACAGTCGGAATGCGGTGCTCTTATGGAAGCCCTTCAGCAGTGTTCGTTTCTTCCTAGGATTGTGACTATGCTGGCAAAGAGTCTGCACCGGGTACTTCAGCTAGCCCCAGAACCTACAATAAAATCATTAAGGACTTTGAACGCCACCTCAATCATTACGCACGTTATGGAACAGCAGAAGAAGGTATATCTTCTGTTTCAAGGTTACTAGGCGATCCAAGTCTTCCTTTTTGTTCTTCTTATAGGGTTCCCTGCTGGATGGTCTTTGTTGGTCATGCAACGAGCATAACTTTTAGCTTTTGCATGGTACGCTCAGCAGACGCGTTTTTCTGTTTGCCTTTTAACATGAATATGTCAACAGGCATCAATAGAGGCTTTGAAAGAAGATTCGGCAGAAAGGAATGAGAACAGCAGGTTGGAGGATTCATGTAGTGCTGATCTTTGGCATGAGGCAATGGACGCACTATGTACTGTTTTCTCATCGTATTTAGCTGCCAGTGAAGAAGCAGTTGTAGACGCTTCTAGAAACTCAAGAGCTATTGATGCTTTGTTCAATCTATTGTGGGACACTACGACAAGAGATTTTGCTCTTAACCACATACTTCTGTTGATGAAGGTGAGAGGCCGTGAAAATTGTTTGCAATATTTCGAAGGGATCGCATTATTCTAATATCTGTGTTTCATTCTGAAAAGACCTACTTTAAGCTGCTACTGTTGCCCATGTCCTTTTGATTGAAATCTAGAAACCACGATATTCTGAGGTTTTGAATGTATTTGTTGCTTGTGTTTGCATCTGGTTTCTCTTTTCAAATGAAATGTGTAGTCTTTTGATGCTTTAGGTCTTGATGTTGACAGTGATGGTGAAAGGTCTTTATACACTGAAGTCTGTATTTTCATAACGTATACGCGCATGTTTGTCAAGATTGTGTATGTTGGATTGTTATTCACGGTCGCCATGTAACTTGAGCTTACTCTTTGTTGGATTCTGGTTTACTTATTATTTATTATTTATTTTCTTGGGTGCAGTTGACACCAACATGTGAACTGGACCAAGATGCAAAACTGGAGCTATGTCTCAAGTATTTGCAATCTTTACCACGAGCGCAGGTTGAATCTCGGAGCACTGACATTAGCATCGTTTTTGACCTGCTACGTGGCATGCGTGAAGTGCTGGAGACAGATTTAACTGTAAGTTCGTTATGCACCAAAATTTATCAATGTGTTTGATTCAAAAGGTTTTTGGTCGTTGTGTGAAGGGTTTTTGATCCGATTTCTTGCACATTTGTGCATCAATACAACCTTTTCCGTAATCTGGAATGAATCCATGTTTTAGAAAACACTTATTATGTGTACAGTAAGTACAGTGCAATTTGATAGAGGTTCTGTTTGAGGACTATGTAACGTATTGCATTTAGTTTTGCTTTTAACTAAGTCATCTTTTCTTGCCATGTACATGTGCACAGCATTATCAAGCTCTCTTTCGGGATGGAGAGTGCTTTGTTCACATAGTCACGCTTCTGAATGAAGAACGTCCAGCAGAAGTTGGTTCACAGCTAAGCCTGGATGTATTGTTCACACTTACTCGCCTTTTACAAGGGAATGAAGCCTCTAAGGTGAATTTACCTATCTGTTGTAGGCATCCAAGTTATGTTTTGTTTACTGTCCATTAAACCAGTTATAACTTGATGAATTTTGTTTGAACCTATGGTTTAACTATATGCACTTTTTGGAAGTATTTAGGTTCCTTTAATTTCTAACCAGGTCTCCTTTTTAGAGAGTACTCTTCGTCTGATTGGCATTATTGCGATGCTGTCTCGTCAATCACAGTATTCTGCAGAGAATTTTATCTCAAATGTGGTTATTGACTTATGTATTGGTTAAAAAGAAAGTTTAATCTTGATAATAGAAGATGAATGGATGAACTGCACACGCGATGTCTTATCGTGGTCCTGAAATTCTCACAGGCATCATTTAGAAGTATTGTGGGTGCTGGGTATAAGACTCTGGAATTTGTTCTCATTGAACTGCACAACGGCAAGCCGAGCCGTGAACTACTTCTTTCGCTGTTGGGTATGCTGGTTGATGGTAGCTTCGACCCAAGTAACATGCTTATTCAGGTAAACACATTTTAGGATTTATGTCTTTCTGTTCAAATATTCCGCATTTATTCCGATTTTGTTATCTGAAATTAGGTCGTTGCAGATTTATGGCAGTTTTGAAACTTTTTTTTATCAACTTTTGCCCAATATTATGTGCTTTTTTTCGGTTTAGAATCGTTTTATACCTCTGCGCAATATTTATCCGGCCGCAATTTGTTTTTTGTTACAGAATGAGGACGTTGTGCTGCTCTACTTCAGCATTCTGCAACGTGTAAGTGGGAATAATTCTACAGCCTTTTAGTTGTGATACCTGTGTCTATTATCTGCAGACTTAGATATTCAAGAGTAACTCCCGAAGGTTTATATTTTTGAAATTACGATTGTGTCATTTCATATTGAATGTTTTTTGCCGAAACACAAGTTTAACATTCTTACTTCTTCACAAGATGTTGTGTTGTAACATATACTACACATGCAGTGTATCAAGAATCAGGTGCACTTTCCTGAGGGCAACATAACAATTAATAGCTGATGCTACTGCTAGAGTTGACGCACTTATATTGCTACTTGTTGCAGTGCAATGAACAAGATCGAGTGAATGGTCTGGATACTTTTCAACTTTTGCTTGAGGAGTCGACTGCAAATCGAGCTGCTTGTGTTCGAGCAGGATTGTTGTCTTTGCTCTTGGAGTGGTTTGCTAAAGAGACGGACGTAGCTTTGATAGTGAAGTTTGGCCGCCTAATGCAAATGATTGGGGGCCATAGTATAAGTGGGAAAGATATGCGCAGCATTTTTGCTCTCTTGCGGAGTAGCAAAGATGGATTACGCCCTCGTCATGGCACCTTGTTGTTGCAGATATTTCAAGGCATGCTCAAAGAGCAGGGTCCGGCTGTTTTTTTTGATTTGAGTGGTCGAGATTCTGTGAGTAACTTTCACCTGCAGTCGAACTCTCCTGCTTGCTCTTATTCCACAACCACTTTTAGATGCAATCACGTATCCTAGCGTTATCACCCAGTAACAGCTGAAGTTGTGTTGACATCCATTGCCATTACTCGTTTTATTTCTTAGCTGTTTCTGTTATTTGTCAGCACTAGTTGTCATTTTGTTGCGTTGAACAGCGGGATGAACAGTGTATGCATTTTTTTTACATGCTTGTATTTAGATGGGTCTTTGTTACAATGATATTCTACTGTAGAGTTCTAGCGGACATTCTCTAATCTTTTGGCTATGTTCTAACTTCTAGTGTCATCTGTATTATTGGCTAAATGTTTTTGACTTTGTCTGTTCGTTCTATTTTTGTATGTGTAAACTGATCTAGATCTTTTGGGTGGTTCTTTTTGATGTATATTACTCCTTGAATCTGGAGCTAATACTGTGCAATACAGCTTTCCTTCGCTCTAACATATGTGTTCATAGCTTCATTCTTTGAAACATAAAAAACAACATTCGATCCCTTGGTGTATGACTTATTAAAAATGCTACATTGTTCCAGGGTATTGTTGTTACATCGCCTTTGAGATGGCCATCCAATCGAGGGTTTAGCTTTTGTGCTTGGGCCCGAGTGGAGAGCTTTCCAGCTGGGAGCTCACCAAAAGCACCAGAAGGCATGATGGGTCTTTTCAGTTTCCTTTCAGAGAATGGAAAAGGCTGTTCTGCAACTATTTCTAGTGAGCAGTTTGTGGTGGAGGTAATTAGTGCCCTTCTTTTTGGATGTAATGTTTTCCGTAGTCCGTATTGGCCTCAATGCATGTTCTTGTGTGATTAGTTTTATCTGCCTTTGCAGTTGCACATGTGCTATGGATTCGACATGGATATGGTTGGATCTTTTCTAGTGTATTGAGTTTGGTTGAGGATCTAAGGTACGAGCTATTTTGTTTACAGAGCATCAGCAATAAACGGCAAATCACCTCATTAAAGGTTCAATTGCAAACGAAACGGTGGTATCATATATGTGTGACGCACAACACTCAAAGAGCTCTTAGTGGTGGAAATACTATCAAAGTATACATTGATGGTGAGCTAGTCGCGAGTGACAGATTCAGGTCAGCTTCCCTGCCTGCTTGTTGCTTTTATAATGGTTTTAGTGTTTTTTTAATGAGAAATATCTATTTGCTCAAGAATCACGTCGTATATGCTTGTCCGACTTCTCGTTTGTTGCATTGTGCTGGGGTCTTGTTCCTTTTTGCTTAGTCAATCTGTGCTCTGTACTGTGCCGACTTTTTGCAATAAACTTTGCTCTTAAAAAGTATGTTACGTTGTAGGCCAAGTTGTATTTCAAGGGTTCGGGCTCATGAGTTACCACAGAATGTTGCGACTTTGATATGTCTTCTAATGTACGACAAGTTTGCATATCACAAGCTGTCTATTACTAGTTTGTACATTACAATTATATTTAATTCCACACCATTGTGAACTTCTGTGCAGATACCCAAAAGTTGGCGAGATGTTGACAAGGTGTACAATAGGAGCGAGTGCTCCAATCACAACAGTTGATGTAATTGGTTTTAACAAAATTTCAGGAGGATTTTCTGCTCCATTTTGTGGGCAATTAGGTCCGTTATATTTGTTTGACGATGCCATGTCTGCCGAGCAAGCAATGGGAGTTTTCTCTCTTGGACCTGATTATATGTATTCTTTCCTTCCTAGTGAAGTTGGTTATGTGCCAGAGAACATCTCCACTGACAGCATCATTAATGATAAAGATGGTTTGGCTTTCAAGATGGTTTTTGGGTATAATGCCCAGGTACATATGTTCATCTTGTAATCTTTAATATTGTGGAGTACGTCGGAGTTGTACCAAGTTATATTTGTATTCATTTCTGGAATCTGATACAAGTTCTCCGTTACGTTGGAATTTATGGTGGTTACTCAAATTATGATGATGACTATATTTTGTCACAAGTTAGATGAAAACATGTAGGCGTTGTTTCTGTTCATACGATACGATTATTAATTGTTTTTGCTCTGGGATGTTTTCAGGCAAGCTCAGGGCGAGCTCTCTTTGATATCTCGCCAGTGCTTGAGTACTCACCAGACCCAATTCTATATGATGCAACCATAATGTCTGGGACTCTTCTCTGCTATCGCCACTTGGTCCAAGACAGTGTGCAGTGTGTAGGTGGCATTGGGGTGTTTTTCCCTCTTTTAACTCAGTTAGATCAACCAGTATGTACAGCCTCTGATGTAATGGGAAACACGTCTGACCAGAAGTACGTGGAGGGCTACCCTATTGACAGTCATGTTGCAGTTGAGGTCATAGACCTGCTTACTGCTGTCCTTGATGGTAATTTAGCCAATCAGCAGTACATGCGCAACATGTCTGGTATGTCAATACTGGGCTTTTTGCTTCAGTCAGTGTCTCCCCAGCATCTTACGGTGGACGTGGTAGCGGCTTTGGAGCGACTTGTCACTACAGTTGCCAAAGGAAGTGGTAAGTCCCGGTGTCAATTGTCATCTCTTTGGTAGGTTCAAAGAACACATTAAGAATTCTTTCCACGTTCTTGGGAGTATGTAGTCTGTTTCAATCTATTGTGGTGGTATATTACAAATGCTTGACAATATATTGTTTGCACTTACAGGTGCCTCTCTGGCTAGTGCTTTGGTTAAGGAAGCTTTGGTTAAATTGTATTTTAATCCGCACATTTGGATTTTCACTCCGTTGATTGTGCATCGCGAGCTGTATGTTTCCTTAATCAACTATTTCAAGAAAGACGGTAGCCTCTTACGAAGTGTCTGTGGGCTTCCTCGGGTTCTTGACATGCTTCGTCAGTTTTATTGGGATAAACCAAAACGTAAAGCTTTAGGCACGAAGCCATTGCTTCATCCAGTCACTAAGGCTGTAATCGGGGAGCGGCCCAACCGGTCGGAAATCAGTGAATTAAGGCAGCTTGTTCTGATTCTTGCCGAGGGTGGCTTAAGGTATTGGAAGATACAACCAGTAAAAATACTTTCGGACCAAGTTTTTCGTTCGTATTAATGCGACTTAGTGTGCTGTTTTGAGGTGTTGGATTTTTTATTTTTATTTTTATTTATTTATTTTGGATTTTAAACTTGCGAAATCGTACGAATGCAACTATAATGAGAATTTTACTAGCACGTGAAGAATCAAATTATGATTTTTTTAATGTGTGCGTGCATTTGGGGTGTTTCGTTGAAAAATATTCTTGTGTGTTTTGCTCTACTATTGGCCTTTGACTTGTTACACGGTTGTTTGGACGAATCTCCTGCAGGGAGAAAGCATCTTTAGTTGATATTAAAGCATTGGTTGCCTTTCTGGAGGCTAGTGAAGATGATATTTGCGTCAAGGATGTGCTTTTCATGGTGTTGAGCCTATTGACTCAGAAGTCTTTTGTTGCATCCTTCATCGAACATGTGAATTCGCTTGGTGGAATAACAATCCTCCTAAATCTTATTCGAAGGTATGTGGAGACAACCAATACTGTTTTCACTGATCTGCTTGTCTGGACCGCTTTTCTTTTATTCCCAGTTAGATTTTGTACTAAGTTTTACAAGGTGAGCAATACGGTACCTAAAGTGGCTGTTGATCGTTTTTGATGTTGAGATCTTAACCGACTACTCGAGAAACCTCACCGGGAGCCAATATAAACATCTCTCTCTCTCTCTCTCTCTCTCTCTCTCGTTTTATATATATATATACACTTACATACATATATATACATACATGTGAGTATAAATCAAAGATCGGATGTTTCCGCAAAGTGTTCATCTTTGGCATGATTGGTGACATAGCACTTCAGCGCTTTCTGTCGGATGAGTAGAATAGATTGTTAATAAGGGAATTCAAGTTCTTTTTTAAGACTGTAAGGTCCTTGAGATGTTGCTATTCAAAAAGCTGTATGTATTCATGAGTTAGATTTTATAGTTTATCTCGTTGACCTGAGGAAATGGGTTTGACAATATTTCTTAGGCCCCAAGAGGACATCCGGCTGTTAGCATTCCGCCTAATTGGAGTGCTGATAGTAGCAATGTTTGAAAAAAAAGGTGCTGGCAGTTCGTTTTTGGGTACTTCAAAAGCGACTGCCGAGTTTCAACGTGTTGAAAAGATCAAAGTTAACCACGTTTTCTCAGTTATGATTGAAAGTGTGACAACATTTCCTTTCACCGACGCTGTACGTGCCACTCTGTTCGATATTTTGTTGGGGGAAGCGGGTCCAAAGCAGGTAATTTCTATTTTTCTCATTTCCATATTGATACTTCGCAAATTGCCAAGTTCATGTTTCAGGCTTAGAATCTCTGCAGTGTTCTGTTTTGTAACCTTCTCTTGGCACTTCATTTGGATTTACTAAAGGTTTTAAGAATGATATCAGTTGGTGTATTTCATGTGACAATTATACCGTGTGACTCTCGTCATGTAGTTTCTTCTTTGCATGTGTTGTCAGTCTGAGTTTTGCATTACACGTTACCCTCGTCGTCTTATGTGCAGCTCCCCCAGGAGGGTTCGATTAATGAACAAGCTAACCCTGTGGCGGCGAAGAGTCTCAGTCGCGCGAAGTTAACAACCCAGATTTCGAATTTCTTTCGCGTTCCTGAAAAACCTGGTGAAAGAGTAGGTGCATTTGTGCTTCCTCAAGTTTTGAGGATCCTATTCAGGGTACTTGCAAATTCGGAAGATTCGATGCTGAGGTTGGAAATTTTGAAGGATACGCTTGGCTTGCTTGAGGCGAACCCATTGAATAGCGAGGCACTGACCCTGGTTTGATTCTAATCTTGATCTCTGGTTTTTGTTTTACATTTAATTTGGTGTTAAAAGCAAGTAGTTTTGGAGTTTCTTTGCGATTTGACACTGTTTTAGTTCAGTTTTTTTCTAACTCTGAGTATCAATTGAAGGCCTCACGGCTTTAGTTCTGAAATTCTCCTTTTGATATGTAAAATATGTGAATATTGTGAAGCGTGTATAGTTACTTGCTTTGATTCTCAGCAAATTTGGTTAAATTAATTTTCAACATCTCTGCAGGAGCCAGCTTGGCAAGGTTGGCTTTTGGCTGCACTTGCAGCTTCTTTGAAACGCAGCAGGAGTACTTTGGGGGATTCCGCAGAAGTGTCGGTTTGGCTTTTGGGCCCAGAGGAGGCTCTCATGCGGAAACTCTTTCGAGCATTTCATGTCTATTGCATCTGCACTTCTCGTAATGGATGGTTGCACGTGGAGAGAACATGCAATTTTGTTCACATGCTGGCGAAGGAGGTAAGACTGCACCTGGGTCTATCCGAACTTTCTATTGGATATGGCATCTCCCTTTATTTTATTTTTTGTCCTTGGTTGATTTACATTACAGGACGATTTTAGCAGCAATGTGAACTTGTCGCGATTTCATCACTTCAAGTTTGTTAACCGACAAATCACAGATGCTTCTACATATCTTTCAGTTTTTAAAGGCTGCTGATGTTATAGGTGATCTTCTGTTTCGAATTGAAGCATTTGGACGTTGTTCTCAACCGTATTTATATCTGCAATTAAAGCAGCAGTGGAAGTCATGTTGATGTAGAGCTGATATTGCTAATCCGGTTACTAATCTTGTACTATTTTGAGTAGCTTCGAGTGATTGAGAATGCAAGATAATAGCTCTGATGCACCGCACCCTCATAATGATTGTGATTTGCAGGGTCAACTATCTGAATTCCACACGTTGCACGTACTGCTTGGGGATCTTGTGGAGGCCATTGTACAAGGGTTGCCTTTGCAGGCATCTCTTTTTACACAACCCTGCCGAGACAATGCTCTGTATCTTCTTTCGCTTGTGGACGAGTTGATTTTAGGCGAAGCTTTCGATCTGCTTCCTGTACGCTTCGGCCCATCTTAGATCAGATTATCATGATTATTATTGTTATATTTAATTATTGCTATCATCATCATCATCATTATCCATTTTGAACATGCTGTTTATCAGTCGTACCGTATTCAAGCAGTTTTCATGACTTTGCCTGAAAGTTTGTATTTCTTAGAGAGGCGATTCAACTTGTCCTTTGTGTTTAGCTTTGTACGCACTTCAAACCTTGACAGGACTATTAGCTCTTGATTGCGAGTTTACGAGGACTAATTTTAGTAGTGATTTCTGTCTTGAAAAACGTATGATATTATTATTTGCTCTACCGTGTCGTGGTGTTGACATTAATTTCTCATGCTTGCTGTCTTCGTGGGTGGTATTCTTCTCCTCCAGTCATTTGCTCCCGGATCTGCAAATGTAGAAGACAATGGCCTTTTGTCAGGTGATAATGTTGACTCGGGTCTTTCTCCTTTCAAGATATCTGGAAAATTTTCTGAAGACGATTGGGAGAGTACAAAGCTTGTCAGGTGATTTGTTCTTGACCTTTGTGATGTATTTAAGTTTTGGATAATGGAATGACTTTATTTAAATCTCGTGGTTTTGAAACCAGAAGTTGAATATTATGACTGTATTTTTAGTGGTAGTGACAGTGGTCTAGTGAATGCTTATTATTTGGTTTTATTCGATTTGCACCCTGCTTGCTTCATATTTTTTGAACTGATGTTACAGGAAAGGATCTATTGGAGTATCACGTTGGCGTTTTCGAACACCCTCGGGGGAGCGCATTGACGTTCATGACAAGTTTCAGTGCTGGCGGTTGTATGATAAAGTCTGGAGCCTCTTAATCACTATGAATGGCCGAGGAGCAGGAAGCGGAAATATTTATCAGACAGGCGTGTCTGGCCCAACTCTGGGACAAAGAGCTCGGGGGCTTGTAGAGTCACTGAATATCCCCGCTGCAGAAATGGCAGCTGCTGTAGTGTCAAGTGGATTGGGAGCTGTTGGTATGAATCCTCCGAACAAGCTTGTAGACAAAGTGTTTCGACTGAGGAGCGAAAGATGCCCTCGAATTGTTTTCAGACTTGTTGTGCTTTATCTCTACAACGCGGATTTGCATTCGGCCACACGCTGTGTTGAACATTTTCTGGCTCTTCTCCCATCCTTTGTATCCTCCGAAGTTGAACAGAACAAGAACCGGTTGCAACTCTTCTTATGGTAATTCTCTACTTTTTACTGAATATGTTCATGATTTTATCGTTGAGGATTTTTTGGGTTGTCAGGATTAGAAACAATGGTATATTTTGTAATTTAATCATTGCAGCTCGCTTATTTATCTACGTTCCAATGAGTTGATGTCAATTGCTATATGATGGCATTACAGGACACTCCTAGATGCGAGAGAGCAGATTGGAAATATGGATGATGGCGCTCGAGTTCATGTCATCTCTAAGCTAATCCAAGAATCCATAGAAATTGGAAAGTCTATGCTAGCTACGAGCATGGTTGAAAAAGAGAAGAAATTAGAATCTGACTCCTCTGTGCAGAGCCTGCTTCAGCGAGAGAGGGTTGTTGCTGCGGTATTTACTGTCATTAGCTTTGCCATGTTTCAGAGATGTATATAGTTTTGTTACTTACACGTAAGGTATTTTTTAATGTATTGTTAATTTCAGCTTCTGAAATAGGTTTTATAAAATAATAATTTATTAATTTATTTTGGACTCTAACAGGTTATTGAAGAGGCGAAGCATCTGAAGAGTACCACGTCTCAGAGGATTCAAGATGTTGAAGCATTACTAAGTGAGCTGGATGATGCAAATCTTGCCGAGTCACAACAGAAGACTGCATTAGAGGACCAGAGTCACGTGGCTTTAGGTACTATCTGTTCAGTGGACCGGTGTCGCCAGACTGCGGCTCAGTTGGCCTATGATGAAGAGCAGCAAGCTATATCTGTAAGTCAGTTTTCTGGAAAATGCTTGTTCTTGTGATTATTTTTGAGGTAGGGAAGTGTATTTGCATTATTCCTGCCTTATGTCCACCTCTGTTTCTGTTGATAAGTATTTAATGAAAGTCATGAATTCATTCACAAAATTAGAATTGTATTTGATTGAATACCCATCTAACGTTTTCACTAGCTATGTATTTTTTAGTGATAAGATTTGGAATTGTGGTCGTTGGAAGGTATTTTGTATGTGGTTTCGTTTGCCTGGTTGGTTTTGTTTTTTTTCATATGCATGGGTAACCTGTTTGACCAAATGTAATCTTTCCGCAAATTAGTGACCTACAGTATCATGTTTTACACAGTTCATACTGACTTTAGATATATACGATCTTGCAGGAGCAATGGTGTCATATGTTCCGCTACTTGACAGATGAGAGAGGTCCATGGTCAACTGTTCCCTTCCCTAATGATGTCACTCTTCACTGGAAGTTAGATAAAATGGAGGATCCTGTTAGGCGAAGGTTGAAGCTTAGAAGAAATTACCACTTCAACAAAGAATACTTGCATCCTGCTACCAGCATCTCTAAAGGTCCCCCAGTGGATCTTGTGAATGAACGAGGGAGTTCTGTGGAGCTCCTCATGGGAGGAGTGAGACAGTTTCTGCTTAAAGGCATGCGAGGAGTGACGGAAGAAAGCTTATCGGATGGTTAGTGACATCTGTTGCATCGCTTTGCTGAGCAGAGATACGATATTTTTATTTACTCTATCATTTTAAGAGAAACATATCATTACATTCGTGTTTTCAGTATGAGAGTAGTCCGCAACGTTGACTTGCGGAGTGTTTCTAGTAGAAAGATGTATGCATTGTCATACTTGAACTCGCTCATCTTCAGCTCTCTATCCGTGAGCACAAACTTTTGTTTTTATCTTAATAGCATTTTATAATTTGGTGTGCTTTTTATTAGGCATAGTGCAACTTGCTTATGTATGGTGGTTTATGTTGCCCTGCAGGTGAAGATAATCAGCTGAAGTCAAACGATGTGGAGGTTACCCCTGCCGAAGCAGATGTTGATAGTTCTCGTCGGTCTGAAGAGACAGGTGTTGCTGCTGGTGTAACAGAGGAGGGTGGCACTCTGCAGGAGCATGTACAGGTTGCTCTGCCAGAGGAAGCCGGAGAGGAGGAGGTGTGTTGTTTCTATATTCCTCCTAACATATTTGTTACGAAACTGGTCATTGAATCATATTTCTGGTCATCTTTAACGCGGTCGATGTCGTGTTTTTTTAGGCCCTTGTGCTAATTCTTGTGTTCTTCCTCGATTGGATTGTTTACTTTCCCGTGATTGTGATTTTTTTGTTCTACCAATGGTAATGCATGCAAATTGCGCTTCATATGGGGCACTCGACGGAAAACCACTTGTGGTACTTCGTTTTGTTCTGATAACTTACAAATGCTTTTATATGCAGGTTTTGCTATCTGTGTCTTGTATTATGGTGTCTGCTAAGAGGAAAGTGGCTGGACGATTGGAGGTCATGCAGTCCAGCCTTCACTTCTATGGCGAGTTCATTGTTGAGGGCACCGGTGGACGATCGGTATTTAATAACGCAGGTGGATTGAATTATCCTGATGCTGTCACAATGGAAAAAGGGTTCAACAAATCTAAGATGAGCGGACGGAGAGACTTCCTTGATGGATCAGAGGTTGATAGAGGTAATGCCATGGAACGTCTAGACCCAATGCAGGGAGGCTTAGTGAAGGGCATCAAGCGGCACAGCCGCTGGGACTTGTCTCAGGTAAGGCATGATTTAGTAATGAAGTTTTCTGTTCACCATAGTATAGGGTATTTTCTTCACCCGCCATCCATGAGACCAGAATGATCTCAGATGAAACAATCTGGTTAACCTCTATCAATCAGTTATTAATATCAATTCGGGGCGATGTTTTTCTGTACTAAAATTGTGTGCTCGATTATCTTTCAGGTCAAGGCCGTTCATTCAACTCGATATCTTCTGCAGTACAGTGCCCTTGAAATCTTCTTTAGCAGCTCTATCCCTCCTGTGTTTTTTAATTTTCCTAATCAGAGGCTGGCCAAGGACATCGGCGTGATGATAGTAGATCTTCACAATGGTCGAGGGTCTGGGAAATCAACAAGAGGGAAAGAGCACATTATTGATTACATTGATAGAAGGAAGGCTTGCGAACTTGCTGAGGATGCAAGGAAGCAATGGCGACGTCGAGAGATGAGCAACTTCGACTATCTCGTGACTCTGAACACTCTAGCAGGGAGATCTTACAATGACATGACCCAGTATCCAGTTTTCCCTTGGATTCTGTCAGACTATACATCAGAAAAGTTAGATCTAAGTGATCATGCGTCATTCCGAGATTTGTCCAAACCAGTTGGTGCATTGAACCAAAAACGGTTTGAGGTAACTTTCAATTTTGAGTTTAAAATCCACATAGTTTTGAAACACATTAAAATGATATTTTGAAATAGGAGTGCCCTGTTGCGTTTGTGTGCTTGTTGTGTAATGTCACGATCGTTCTATTTTGCAGCTATTTGAAGAGCGATTTCAAAATTTTACCGACCCTGATATTCCAAGGTAACTGTTAGTCTTTGTTGCTGTTAATGCTATGCTCTCTGGGTGTCTTCTTCTCCAGGTTTATGGGAATTCCTGTTTTAACTTGGTTACAAGTATTCAGGCTTCAGTATCTGTAATAAGTGCCACGCACCGTGGATGATCTTTAATTTACCGAGTGGATGTCACTTACAATGCTGATCTTTAACTTCTAATTGAATGCAGCTTCTACTATGGATCCCATTATTCAAGTATGGGAATTGTATTGTTCTACCTTCTTCGTCTTGAGCCTTTTACTCTACTTCATCGGCAGCTACAGGTACATTCTACAGACGAAAAATCATATCAGTTCTAGAATGTCATATTCTGGGGACTACTTCCATTTAGCTGTGGTCATGATTGCTCAGCGTTTTCGCTGGGGAATCGTGTTGTAATCTGCAGTCTTTAAAATTAAATTTTGTGGTTTGATATTGTTTTTGGTGGGTACATGGTTTGAATATAGAAAGATTCTAATCTAGAGTTGCTTTTAGTTAAGAGTTTCAGTTCCGCATGAAATAGTGCAACTAATCCAGTTCCATTTGGCAGGGGGGCAAGCTGGATCATGCAGACCGTCTTTTTCATAGTGTAGAAAGCGCCTTTCAGAATTGTCTCACCAACTCCGGTGACGTTAAAGAACTAGTACCCGAGTTCTTTTATTTGCCAGAATTTCTGGTCAACAGTAACGGGTATTATCTTGGTGTAAAACAAGATGGGGAGGCTCTAGGTGATATTGTCTTGCCACCTTGGGCGAAGGTGCGTATACGTAACATGTTGCTCTTGTTTAATGTGGTGATGTGTTTCACGTGACGCACTGGGGCTTTTTTTCTCAGCAGCTTAAATTGCCACTCATCGTGTCACTTATGCTTCTGTCTGTTACTTTTCAAAAGGAGGATTCTGGACATGTAATTTGTGGTGATTTGTGATTTTGTTATGATACAGAGATCACCTGAACTTTTCATTCAACTTAATAGGGAAGCTCTGGAGAGTGAGTATGTTAGTGACCATATCCATGAGTGGATTGACCTCATGTTCGGCTACAAACAGCGAGGTCGCCCTGCTGTAGAAGTAAGTAGTAAACCAGATTCCTTCCCTTCTATTTATTTATTTTGATCATTCTCTAGTTTATAAGCGCATTTGCAAAGCCAATTGGTATGCTATGGTACTTATGCATACATTGCTGTATGTAGGCTGCAAATGTGTTCTACCATTTGACATACGAAGGAGCTGTAGATCTGGACGCTATGGAAGACTGCACGGAGAGAACTGCTATTGAGGATCAAATTGCAGGTTTTGGTCAAACCCCCATACAACTTTTCAAAAAGAAGCATCCAAGAAGAGGTCCAGCACAGCCAATTGCACGACCTCTCTATTATGCGCCTGCTTCCATCACGATGACATCCACTATTCCAGCACCGTCTCCATCTCCTGGACAGAAAGTGACTAAAGTGGTATTTGTTGGACTCATTGATGGGTTGGTGGTAACTATCAATAAAAGCCTCTCTGTGGTTGTGCGGACATGGATCACACCTGCATTACAGAATTTCACTTTCTCCTCTTCTCAGGTACATTTTATTTCATCCGCATGATTTTTTTTTTTTTTTTTTTTTTTTTTTTTTTTTTTTTTTTTTTAATGTCGTTATTAAACGCGGATTTTTCCTATAATTTCCACTTCAAAAAAAAAATCTTGGCTTTATTTGTTTAATGACCTTTTCAATTTATGGCAGGATTCATATTTCGGGATTAGCCAAGAGGTTGTTTTGAGCCGGAAAATCTATGGTCCAATTGTTGACGACGTTTCATTGAGCTCTTGCTGCTTTGGAACGCTCTTAGTGCGTTCCTCATCTTTCCTGTTGACCTGTGGTCATTGGGACAATAGCTTCAAGGTCATTTCTTTGGATGGAGGAGATTTGGTTCAAAGTAACAGCCAACATAAAGATGTCGTAACTTCTTTGTCAGGTTTCGCATCCGATGCTTCACGCTGCCAACTAATCTCCTACACTTAGTTCTTCTCTTTGAATGTTGTAGCCTTTCTTTTTAATGTAGTTGGCGGCGTCAGATTTTTGAATCTAGAAGATTCTTTACTATTACTGTCATACTCATTTTTGTTCTTTTGGACTGTCCTAGTTTATCATGCATCATAGAAAGGTTGTGTTTATGTTTTTTCATACTTTCGCAGATACTCTCTATAATCTCTCTTACGTTATTGTTCTGGCTTCGCAGTGGCTGTCGATGGAAGTGTGGTTGTTACTGGCAGTCGAGATACAACTGTGATGGTTTGGGATATTGAACACACGACAGTTAGTACCAGGAGGCTAGGAAGTATTAAAGACACTTTGACGGAAAAGCATCGGAAATCCGACACTGTGGTGATATCCGACAAACCACGACATGTTCTGTGTGGACATGATGATGCTATTACATCTGTGGCTGTTAGAGTGGAGTTGGATATTGTTGTTAGTGGCTCAAAGGATTCCACATGCATATTTCACACGTTGCGGACCGGCAGGTATGTAAGGTCTATTAGGCATCCCAACAGATGTCCTGTTACAAACCTCAAGGTTTCACAACATGGGCTAGTAGTTGTTTACTCCCACGGAGACCTGAGCCTCCATGTTTGCTCCATCAATGGGAAGTGGTTAGCATCAGTCGACGTTAAAGGTCGTCTGAACTGCATGGACATTAGCCACTGCGGACACTTTCTAGTATGTGGGGGAGATCAGGGTCAGGTGTTGGTTTTCAAACTTCAAACTCTGGAAGTTGTGCGCCGGTATGAAGGAGCAGGAGTGGCGGTCACTTCTCTTACAGTTACTCCAGAAGACTGCTTTCTTGTGGGTACCCACGATGGAGCTCTTGTAGTGTTTTCTTTGGAGTTTCAATACCCCAAGAAAGCAGGGTTCTTCGCCTCCATTCAAAGGCATGTTCGGTAGGTAGTTGACTCTTTAGAAAGAGATCCGGGTATTTCAAGCGCAGATTACGGTTGCGGGCGTTCAGCTGGAATATGTTCTTACCAACTTAGGTGAGTTTTTTCTCGTCTTTTGGTTGACCGCTTTCATGTGGTTCATGTTGATTGTTGCTTTTTGTTTGGCATTTCATATTCCATTAAGGGCGAGGGTTGTTTATTTGGCCTCCGTTTGTTGGCCAACTTCACACAAATTTAGTGGATTATGGAGAACTTTTGTGTATAGACTTTTTACTATGAGATTCGTAGATTTTGTTCGAGCAAAAGAAGTTGAATTTTTCTTTAGCGACTTTATTTGACTGTGCTTTCTGTTTGAATGAGTGAAAGTGCTGCATGATTATGTTTTAGAATTTTCTAACGTTGCCGTTTCATTCTCCAGGTTTATCGTTGAGAAGGATTCAATCGTAGTCTATTGTGGCTTAACACAAGCCCATCATACGGTGGTGATATCAACGCACATGCAGTAGAAAAACGATTGGTTTGATAGAGCTAATTCCACGTTCAGCATGTTAACATAGGGTGAACTTTTATGTACAGATTCTTTATTTTGTATTTGCAGCTGTTGTCTGCTGCTTTTGATTGAAACATGAAGTGTTTTGATACTCTTATGAGATTCACAGGGTATGATGAAAGGTGATGAAGTGGTAACAGTTTTATTGCCCTAAAGTGTATAATGCTTAGATCGTGAGAATGTTCTTGCTTGGAGAGAACGGGATGCATTAATATATTTGAGCATGATTTATATCGCTGTTGTGACTTTTCGAAGGTGAAACCCTCCTTTTTCGTTCATGAAAGCGATGATGCAGTGTGTTTCTTTAGATACGGCTTTCCTCCTTTTCTGATTTTACTGTGTTTCGACGATCGCTGGAGCTTGCATAGGAATGCAAGCGACGCAGTATAGGTGACTAGCAAAGTTGTCCGCGAGCTGAAGCGTTCAGCAAGCAGTGGTATGATTGTTATACATTGAAGCAACATGTCAAGCGGATGTAATACAGTCCATGCTCCCTGTCCATGAGCACATCATATACTTCTATACGCAAGAACTGTGTATTAGGGCCTCTGTAGGAAATATGAAGTTCTGACAATTAAGAAAATTCCTTTCGTTGTGTATTACATCCTTATTTGTTTTGTATCTCAAATTGTAAATATTATGTTCCCCCCATATGGATGCTTCGGTACTTCTAGAGGGGTTTTGGTTTGATTATCTGTGAGAAGAACGATATTTCCATAGGTTTTTTATAAGAGTGTTAGCAAACACACTATTTTTCAGGAGATTCCAGCTTCGCAACAGCCTTTGTCACTGCAACGTCGTTCATGATGGCTCGAGAAGGGTGCCGCTACTGGGTTGGCAGATAGTCTTACATTAACAAGTTGTGAGAGTATGCGGATCTCCTTCAGGAAAGATGGGGTTTATCAAAACCCTTATTCAAGATGGCCTGCGTTAATTAGAACTACTCATAAAACCCGCGCATGAAGCGAGATCCTATTAGTAGGATACACCCTCGTGTTTCCGTCCACCAAATAAATTAAGGAATGTGGGAACTAACTCAAAATGTGCTCGGGTAAAATGATCATTTCTGCCTGTTTTTCAAACTGCACATTCCATGCCTGGCAAGCATGGTTTATGAATGAACCTTTATTAAATATATTTCAAAGACAATCACGACAAGACTGCATCCAACTAAAAGCTGAATCTAGAAACACGCCCGGTTTGCGTCTAAAGAAACCAACGACAGCTTCGCAGGTCACGGAGCCTGTAACACATGGAGTGTATAGCCTATACTATGTCTCTAATGCAGTGCGTCAATCTTACCTGACCTAAAGATTCCGAACTTGGAGATTGTGGAATAACGATAGGTGATACCATTCTTGTCCAGGAGTTCTCCCAGCAGCTGCCTGAATCTCTCGGGATCGTTGGTCTCGCACTCGATCTCATATGTGGTCCCAAACGCGTAATGCGTTTCATCCAACTCCAATTTCACTCCTTCCCAGTCATATACATTGCGCACGTTCCTAAACCCACCCAAGCACAAAAAAATTTCGCACTTGTACTCGCGGATGATTTGCTGAATCAGCTTGCAATCAGAACCTATGAATTGAGATGGATCAGCCACGCACGCTCTCGCTAGCGCAACGTCAATGTCCTCTTCAACCTGCAAGAGATGCAAAACACTGGCGTCAACATGTGGAACCACTCGCAAAGACAGCGGTGTGCAGCCTGGATTGTGGACCATCAGGCAATGAAAAAATATCATCTTCCACAGAACTTGAGACGGTTCGAGCCAGTCTTCGAAATACAAATAAGGCTCGATGAATTCGACTGTTCGAATTGTTGAGATTTAATTCTACGCATTGGGAGTTGTCTCCTAAACGTGCGATCTAAATTCGGTCGATCCCACAGATAAAGGATAATGACCATCTTTGAGGATAAACAGAGCACAGTGCACAATTCCCGCGCCCACCATGTAGCATAAGCAAGGAAGAGAAAGAGAAGTAGGGCAGGCACCTCGGATCCACGACTAATGCCGTCGATGATGACAGCCTTGCCCTTAAGCGTAACAACGCAACGCTGATCGCCGTTGTAAAATCGCAAACGGAGCACAGCACGCTTGGAGCTGAGCTCTTGCTGCGCTCCATCGAAGAAGACATTCTCCTGGAGGTGAGTGACCTGGTGATTAGAGGCAAGCAGGGCCGCGACTTTCTGGTGCGCGAGGGCATCATCCAACCTGATCTTCACCTCCACCTCCATTGCAATGGGTGGTTCTGAAGCACCCCCTGGCAAACAAGTCTGAAGAACAACAAGGAGCAGAATGAACAAGGGAAACGTGACAGGCAGAGCGATAGAGGAAATCCACAAATTGCTCAAAAAAGTATGACTGCGAATACAACAATCCCATCTGGAAAACACCGAGAGTGAGGCTAAAGTGGACACACTTCACAAAGCCAAGACTAAAAATGGGGATTCAAGCCCGAAGGAAAGCTATCTGTACCCCTCTTGTTTGTGCGGTGTGAACAAGGCTCACTTCAGACTCTGTTCACACTCGCAAGATTTTGAAGTTCAATTCCACATACCCTAATCAGGAAATCGATATCGTCAACCTTGATTAAACCGGAAGCAGAGCTGAAGGCGCTTTTTGATCCATGCAGTGCTGCTGTTTCACAAACTCGCAAGTGATCGGAGGGAGCTCAAGACCATGTGCTGTGGTACATTTGCATGCGCCATGTCATGTGTAGAATGTGTAGAATTGTGTTGATATGGAAGAGAGAATGAAGTGACACGGAATAGTGCGCTTTAGTCATTGAGGAAGGCAGCAAGTGAAAATTGCACACTAATCTTACATTGTGTGGTTGTTGAGGCGCATAATCTGTGCCACGATCTGTTGCTACCTGCTAGTGCTCGGTGTGGATGTGCCGGATCCCTTGCCGCTGAAAATGAAGAGTTACACAGGGGGAGTGGTAGAGACAGTTTCGGCTGCTTATCGGTAATGCGAGTAAGTTGTAGCCATAATATAATTCCTATTACAGTTTATGGCCTTCCCACTCTCAACGGACAGATCAAATGACACCGCTCTCGTTTTTCACTTTCTAACACTAACAACGCATATCCATGACGTTGCAAGTCTGCGTTCACAGGCAGAAGTGGGAAACATGCATTCGACAGTGCATCATTCCAAGAAGACGGTGCTGTTGCGTAGCATTTTTGGTCATGAATGAATAATTGATAAACTCTGGTAATATCATTGCCATTCAATACCTTGTTATTTGCCACACATCTTTCCAAAATGAGTAGCAATGTAAACGAGTAAGTTCTGACATGAAGAGAATATATCAAGCTTAATGTTTGGAGCTCAACAATTTAGACGAGTACAAACTCTAGTTTGAATTACATTTTGCGTGGAGTATACGAGTTCATGCGCAAGAGGGTCATTACGGTGCAAAATACTTTGATATTCTTAAATCCCGTTTGGGAGATGAGCTACACCTCGAGCTGTAATAGTTTCTTCTGCCGTCAGGCGGAGTCTCTCACTTCTCAACCTCTTCTATGAAGAAATTGATGTGATTATAAACATTACTGTTCCAGCTGCAATGATTCAATTAAAGTACAAAGCAGGAGAAGCAGCCGCATCCTTGCACATAAGAGCAATTGCACATGGGAACACCTAGTGACGAATACTCAGTCGTCTAACAAGTTCTGGCTGGTGACGTAAGTTGCTGGAATGCCCTTTCTCGTTCTCTTACAAATTTTGCTCAGAAGGTCAAGGTTTTTCGCCGGAGGGGCAATTCGAAAGTCACAGACGTAGCGCACTCTAAACGATAAAGTCCTCCACCTGCCGGACTCGGCGCTTGCTTTCACGACAACAAGGGCCCTCAAGGGAATATCGTTCTTGATGATACAGTATTGCAGCAGGGCACCATCGTCAGCTTGCAGGGCTGCATTGGTGGCCATCACACGAGTTGAGATCAAGTTGCTGTTGTTCCTGGTTTGGTAGAACGGGGGCATGCTGGCAATCGGAAACGTGGTGTTCTGGAAAGACACGAGCATCTCAATCTCCTGGTAATCCATTCCCAGGTGCTTGTTCGGATTCGATGCCAGCAACCCGAACTCCAAGTCGAGGTTCAAGACTGGATTCTCTTCACCAGCATTTGGACCTCCTACAGTGCTAAATCTCCAAACTTTCACAGTTTGAAGTCCCACCACAGGGTACTTGGGCAGCAGTGACAAGTACATGCTGGCTGCAATAATGCCCAGAAGCAAAGGGACTCCAAACGTGCACGTCGCACGAAGGAACCTGGAGTTCCGCCTCGCATCATAGGGGATTCGAAACTCGGCTAAGACATGTGGGCGTTTCTGTGGCATCGCATTCATGCTTCCATCGGGAAGGATGCTGGTGACATAATGACTTAACAGCGGTGTTCCACTCCCCTTGGCCGTGTTGTTGCTGCCACTTATCCTTGGTTGCTGTTCCCCTGGTGTATGAAACCCCGGATGGTGATTGTAGATAGCTGAAGCAGAAGTCGCCTGAGCGTACGTGGGAGGTAGCAGGATCCCCTGCTTTGTGGGAGTGGAAAGCCTGAGTGGCGATGGATTTGCGCTGCCGGCGCCACTTGGAGGATTTGGTGGAGTTTGGAGTCTCAATGGCACCACAACGTCGTCGGCTCTGTTTATCAAGCCCGAATGGTCTGCCATAATATCGCCGTGCTTAGATATTCGTGTGTCCGAATCACTGAATCACCGAAGCATCTATTCTACATTCAACTAATGTGTCGTCGTCAATGCCAGCTGAATCAAAGAAAACGAACTGAGATAGCGATTCTGCGGACTCTGTCACTCACCATCTCAGCAAATTGACGTATTTGGAGTTATCTAGTATAATGCACTACCCTAGTGAGACGAGTTTCAACAATCCAATGTAATATCCACTCACGGCAGCACGCCGTCAAAAGTGATTCCGATGCAGCATTGTCATCCACTTCCCACCCCTCAATATGTCCTCATTTCCACAATTATCCAGAAGTATCATCCTTGATTGCTTTTACACAATTCCAACCACCAGCACTGGCACCAAAATTGCAGTGTATCACTTCATCACTGTTACGGACCGTTGGGGGCTCGCTGACGAGTTCGTGCCTATCTGCAATCACAAATACACAGTTTATAGACATTCTCTAACGTCCTTTGCTACTTCATTTCACCACTTGTAAAGTCCAGATCCAGGATTTGATAAAATGGTAAAATTATCAATAGGACTAGGTATGAGCAAGTCGCACACCAACAAATAAATTAATATAGCGATCAGAACCCTAGCAGATTTCAATTGCTTCGCTAATTCAAATTAGGTTGCCTAAGGCCCGAGACATGTGTAAAAATATACATTCTCAATGGATCATGGTGATGTATTTAGAGAATTACAGGACAGTTCATGACACCTTCTGAAGCGGATTCCGTCACATCAAAATCTTGAACATGCAGTTGAGACAATTTCAAGCTGGGTGAGAAGGCAGTTATCAATTCAAGACCATCTCCCACAACGAATTTCACCTTCTCTTACAGGTAACCAAGAAACACAATCTGCAAATGAGTTCGGTGGGAAAGAGCTCCACTTCATCTTGTCTTGAAGATGTTCGTTGCACTTCAGTCCCTCGCAGTTCAATTCACCGAAACTTATGGCAGGAGCGAAGATGTTGGAGCAACACAAGATGAAGACATTGGAAGGCTCTGAAGGGAAGCGTAGGCGGGAGATGAAAAGATGGGTAAGATTGGATCGTTTAACTGTTGAAACTGATAAGTGAAGGTGATAATGTAACCACATCTGTTTACATGGGTGATTCCAAGAGAGTTATCTGTGGCACACTGTGCAGCTCAACTTTGATTGTCGTCATGTCTTCATGGGCGTCGGAACCAGACTACCTCTGATCCATTCAGGAAAAATGCAGTTGGGCATAACGAAGTTCGGAACCTCAAAATGAATGGAAAACATCTTCGATGAAGGTCTGAATGAGCACTTTAACAACTCAATACTCGTCAAAATTTATACTAATGAATTAAACCGGCTCTTCCTCTCTCGCATCCCCAACACGATCTCAAAACTTGCTAACCATCCCACTTCGTTCTTCAATATTGTATTGTCTATCATACCTGATGCATGTGAGATTATAATGTTGCCCTCCTAACATTGGTCAAAGATATCCCTCCCCAGCAATGTCCATGTGCCATCTTAGACGGCGTTATTACCCTGAGTTCGTAAATCTCCAGCTATGTCGTGCTGTTCGAAGTGACTTCGACCAGTCCCGACTCTTGGCGAAGGATTGGGTTCAATAACTAGTATTAAAGAAGATTTACGCAACTGACTTCCCTGCGCGGCGACTGGAATAACGGTTCCTTTGCTTAAGAAAGACTAACAACGCGAGGCAGGAATCCTCAAAAGGTATTATCGCGGCGTCCAAGTACCGCCTGATTGCAGAAATCGGGAACAGGTACTCCATTGGTCGACACCAGATAGGCAGTTGAATGCTGAGAGAGAATCTTTATCGCAGCAGAAAAGACAGGCAGCTTAGATTGTGTTACGTTCTGAATACAAGTGTACCTAACCGGGTATAAGTGCGGCCTAGGCGAACAATTACTCTGGTCTACAGAGGCAACAAACTTCTTGTGACCTTGGTGCCGTCTGAATGAAAGCGTGCTGCAGGTCTATAGTCCTTTGAAAGCACTTTAGACAACAGCAGTCTAATACGGACATCCACACTAGATGTGTCGGAGGTGACTCCCCTCCACCAAGGCTGGAATTGCGGTGACTAAGAATTCTTAAGGACAAGAGTCGTTGTTCAGTAGGCTAATTATTGCGATCCAGAATCATGTATCTTCAAAATGATGCAGTGCAGAAAACAATGGGCAGCGTGCAATTTTGCAGTTCGCAATTAGGAGCAGGGTATTAGCGATGTAGGGAAGAATGGGCGGAAGGGTCTACGGGGCTGGAGGTAGACAATGGATGGTGAGCAAGCGCAATTTGTTACTCATACAAAAGCTTGGAATATGTATTGTGTCATTGCGTTTCTTCATTACTAGCGAGAACTGTACAGATGTCCATCAGAACAGTATTTCACAACTAGTAACACCAAGAACGTCGAAGTAGTGCAGCGGATACCAAGTAGAAGATCATCTTTCGAGAACATCACCCAAGTGCAGTGCTACCCTGAAGTGGAAACCTACCTCCAAACTTACGATCTGTGACTTAGGAAGGACTCTAAATAATGGGGTACAGGGGAGCTGTAAGAATTTACCTTCTGGTTTCCGATTCTCCAGAACCAAGGGTTTACATCGTCGAGCGCAATAACATACGGAGATTTTAGTTGAATTTACACAATGTATATTAAAAATCTATAACAATCGAGAAAGACGTAACATAAGGGAACAAGGGGATTACATGCCATTGAGAATGCAGTCGCCGGCCCACATTCCCATCTCGTAAAGCTCACGCCGGCTACAACGGGCTAGGACACACCTATCGACTGGTCAACAGTACTAACGAAATTGCGCGGGTGTATTGCTGCAGATGCAGATCACAAGTCAAGATTCTGTCCCTGTCATAACTATACTGTCAAAGGTACAACTGCGCTGAACCCGTTCGAGAATGTCACTTAACAAGTACAGCAGATCATGAGAAACATGCAGATGAAAGACCAGGCTGCGATTTAATCGCTAGTTCGCATGATCATACTCCTCAGCCAAGTACCCGACTGCGGAATTATGAATCCGGATTGCAGAAAAACAAGTATCAAGGGAGGACAGACGCTGCTACAATCAGCACGCCCAGAACTTGGGTGGCCATGATAATGGTAGGAGCATCGATGGATTTTAGCACATTAATGAGTAAGATGAGAAGTCAATCCATGTGCAGACAATTACGATACTGGAAAGAACATAAAACAGTGCGGTGAAAAGATTTAGCTTAATTCTAATTTCAAAATGAAAGTATTTGACAAGTGATAAGTGAACACTCAGCTACAAGTGCTCTATAAAAAATTTAAAAAATAGTAGGGTAGCCAACATTCTCGCTTCAGAGTTTAACAACTCTACAGCCTCCTAATCCGTGAGGTTGCCTGAAAGATCGACTAATCAGAATGTGTCGTGCTCGGTTAGAGTTCTACCAACGGTACTAACAAAAAAGAAATATGGATACTCAGTCCTCGATGTCGTCGTCGTTGACGAACTTGCCAGTTCCGGGGTTTACAGCCGCGAAAAGAAAGAAGATAACGTTGAACAAGATGAGGGGTTCCAGCTCTGTGATGGGCACGCCCGTTTCAATGTTCAGTTGGGCCAACGCGCCCTTCCCTGTAATGATCTCGCCGATGATGGCGAAGGCAATACCTAGCTGTGCAAGACGACCAACGAAGAGCTCGTTTGACTTGGTGAATCCGAACACGGGGCCTGTAAAGAGCGAATGTTGCACTTGTCAGAATCTACAATTACACCATGCCCAGCTTTGAGACAGATGTACACTGTCCAGGTATTGAAGGTTGAACCAACTAAATTGCGCATATGAGAATGGCTCACCCTTTTCATTCAGACCAAGAGCACCCTTCACTCCCTTGCCGGGCTTGATAATGGTGCTGTCAAGTCCAGCGACTGGGGCATCGTCGACGAACTTTCCACGGTCACCCAAAGCACCGATGGCTCCCAACAGGGTGAAAAGAATGAAGAACAGCAACAAGGGTTCGGTTTCCGTCAAGGGAATGCCAGTCTCAATATCGAATTGGGCCAATGTACCCTTTCCAGTCAGGGCTTCACCAAGGATGGAGGCCTATTCATCGTCACATCAGTAAGTTAGTGTTGGCATTGCATAATCAGCAGTGTAGACTACCAAAACCGATTCTCATTAAAACGAAATTGACACAACTCGCTTTAGTAGCACTGAGACTTACAGCGAACCCGAGCATAGCCACACGGCCAACGAAGAGCTCGTTGGCTTTAGTGAAACCAATCCCACCGGATGTCCCAAAAATACCGTCTTCAACCTTGGCCTTGCCCTGCAAAGGTAGGAATACCACATCAACACTTAGATTTAAAAAATGTTTCTCCGATGATGTATTTTGATGTATTTTGACGTGGGAATCAGAAAGCCCGCTCTATTTTTCATAATACATGCCAGTGGGCTACAACTCTGTAGGTGATACGACAGTGACTACCTTCGTAGGAGCAGGAGCCTTGGCGGCGGGTTTAGTTTTGCCAAACAAGGCGAAGGTCTTCACAGCGCCTGAGGACACCCGCTCAGCATTCCTGTTCAACCCCAGACCCACCGGCAAGGTCGACGAGGAAGATGCAGCAAACAAAGAGGACAACCTGCGAGTCGACAAAGTCTGGGATTGTGCAACCCCTCCCAAGGCTTGCGCAGCGCCGATCCGAGAAATGAGTGCAGCTTGAGCCATGTCAAGTCCCTTGACTCTCTGTACCCAAAAAGGATCCTACACTTACAGTAGCAAGGATCTCTGTGAAACTGAAGACGAAATGCGAAATGACAACACGAATAACGAAGCCGAGGAGAGCAATGACGTTAGTGGGGGGGTGTCCTGGGTATATATGAACCCGATCAGAGGCAGAGGGGGATGAGGAACAGGATTGAGGGGAAGGAGAGGAGAGGATGAGAGAGGTGGAGCAAGGAGGATCACACAATCAGTCCCAGGTTACAGAAATGGAAGGGAAGGAACGATTGGGGTAGCTGGTGGGTGTGGTGAGAGGCGTACGGCAGAGGTAGGGGGAGGCAGTCGCAGAATGCGACGTCCACCGGGAGAGAATTTTAGAAACCTCGCAATTCCAGAGCACCACCACCATCGGAGGAGGATTGTCAGCTGAAGCTGAATGAGTGGGTGGGGGTGCAGATGAGGGGCCACATACATTGCAACATGCCTTGCATCCAAACAGAAGCGCAGCCAGCGCTCATTCAATGCGGGCATGTCCTGGCTGATAGATAGATGGGTCCTCCACATGCCGCTACGGGATGCGCAATGAGCACCCCACAAACACACGCCCTCCGCTCCATCCATCCTTGGCCGGCGTCACCGCCCGGCCTCCACCACCGCCATCCCCACACCTTAGGGAGTAGGCCACGTGGCACTCCCTCTTACGTTCATCCATCCGTTCACAGGTATGACCCATATTCTTCATCCACGTGTATTCATTCGTTCCCTCCCTCTCTCTCCCTCTGATTTGCAAATATAGTGGAACGTGGTTAGTTCAGTGCATCCACCTAACCACGTTCCACGAGGCACAAATACTCAGTGGTTGATTTCGAAGAGAAATTGGGTTGTTGAGGGAAGTTTTTCCACGATTTAATCCTTGTGATTGTTTTCTACCTTGTTCAGGTTACACTTGTGTTGTGTTCAGCTGGAATATTGTTGTTGTTAATTTTTGATGTAGAGAATACATTCCCATAATATTTTACAGACGTGTTTATATGTGACTTTCCTGTAGTGAACTGGTGCACCGGAGTAGAAGTACAAAAGCTGGAAGAGTAGGATATTTTTGTACGATTACTGTCATTGCAGCAATGTATACATTTATAAAAATTAACTAATTCAAAAAAATAATGTTTTATTTCTAATAATAAACGCAACAGTCTCATTTTGTTCAACTAATTATGGCGTTTCACTTTCCATACAATTCAAGTCAAAATAATAACTGCGGAACTCTTTAAGTTCAGAACAACTGCATTATCGTCTGTAAAATATTATGGGCATGTATTCTGTACATGGAACTATCTCTCACTTTAATAATGCATAAACCTTCCGATGATATAAGTGCAGGTCTTACCTCTGCAAAAAAAAAATGCAGAATCCACTTCCAATAGTGAATACTACGTCAAATTATTTTCTTTCAGGACGGAAATGAAAACCTTCATTTGTTTTAAAAACATACACCTTTCCCACAACTGAAGATGCATGATTTGATGTGGTGCATGTCAAGCCGATCGATAAGCAAATTATAACAGACTAAAACATGTATGATCCTTACTACAACAAGCCCTCGAACACTTTTCAATGATTGCAAATGAAACTTCCTCTTTGTTTTGATCACACGTCAAAAGGCTGGGATCATCACCACAAAATCACACCCACAGCAATTAAAGCATCATAGCACCAACACGTAGAAGATATGCTTCGCAACACAAGAAATCACAAAGCACACTCCCCGAAACCTTAATTTGGAGGAAGACCACACGTTCATTCCCATGTCAAGGGAAGGAAATCGTAAAAGAGTGATAGTGAAACTGTAACTGTGAGATGAGATGTATGGCAGACCGGATAGAGTTTCGAATGTAGAGAGATGTGTAGCTGGGCTAGGTCAGGAGGTGTCCGAGCACCAGTTTCTAGGAATGGGATCATAATAGCCGCTAATTTGATACAGTTGATAGCTTTGACAGCTGCAAAGTATTATATCAGCAGTCGTGTCCCCAGACCACACCAAGTTTGCTTTTCCAAGTCGACACTTTCAAGAAGTTGATCTGCTGTTAACGGTAAAGTTCATTGGTTCAAAGGAAATTCTCGGGAAGCTCCGCAAGCAAATTTCTGTCTCCAATAAGTCGACTTTGGATGTTATCGTGATGTGTAGGATACAAGTTGAGGTGTCTCGAGGCTACGAGAACGTTGCAGCGACGGTCAGAGTCGAGACAAGGCAAGCGAATGAGATAACGGCTACCATCATCTTGGGCGGCTATATAATTGCAACTATGTAATTGCAACTAAATTATATTGCAACTAAATGATATGTATATATATATATATGTGTGTGTGTGTGTGTGTGTGTGTGACTTTCTTAAAAAAGGTTTTTTGTATTAAGTTACATTTGAACAGAGTAAATGGGATTTGTTATAAGCTCACGATCTAAAGTGATAGACCACCATTACGTGGTTGGTTCTGAAGAAATCGCCTTCACACCTGTTGTGATGCTTTCCCAGCCTCCAAGCCGCTCCACAGGATCGTAATTCGTGTATAGCATAAACTCGTTACCTAGCTTGTTGCGATGTTCGGGCCTGAACACGCAAGGTCGACCTTTAAGCAGGTCCCATACTCGGTCCTCCTGCACAGCCCCTGCAACCACAGAAGAGAGAATCATCAATTAAGCACTGATCAACTGATCAACAAAAGGTTTTCCTCCCAAGTGATAAGTAAGGAAAGTGGCTGCAACTGAGATATCGTCCTGACCAAGAGGTAATGAGATTGGAAATACGCCTGTAGGAGTACCTGTCAGCACCATGAATGTAGGTGACGACTCGGAATCGGCAGCGATGTATCTCATTGTTTCCACAGTTTTCTCTAAACATTCTTTACTCTGCGGAAGTCCACAAGATCAGTAAGGACACAATGTAATAGAAGAGGACGGATTATGAATCCACAAATGTCAACAGAAAGTAGACATACAGAGAGCAGTCTGAATGGTATATCGAGATAGAATGTACAAAAGGAGCAGCTTAACCAGATACGGCTGGAGACAAACCAGATACGGAGGATCGGCCACCAAGATTTGAAAGGCTTTTCGGTGTTCAGGAGGAACATCAAGCGGAGCGTTATAATCATAGAATGTAAATTTGCTTCCGTATTTCTCAAACCGCTGGTCGTACTCATATAGTTGTGCAGACACATCAGGATAACTTTTCTGCAAACCCTCAACGATTGAAGATCATTGTTCTCACTGAAACTCCAATAATTTTCTACTTTGAATCACCCACAAACCAATGCACAAATTTCCAGCAAGGCTAAATAAATGAGTGCAAACAAGATGGTTGCATGGAATCTAGCTCACATGGAAATCAACAGCGTACGAAACGAAACCTGAAGCTTAAACCCTAAACCCTATTCTCATTACAGAAAATGCTTATCAGGCAAGGTCGCACCCGCAATTCGACGAACAAAGTGGGACAAGCGATGCAAGCGACGCGGCATTGAGGCCGAGAAGACGCCAGACGGTTCACTTCCGCTGCCACAGTGGCAGAGGTAGTATCATCGTACCAAAACTGGCTCATGCGCCAATCCTCGGACAGCAGAGTCAAGTCGTCGTGGTTGTTGTTGTTGTTGTCGTCGCCGTCGCCATTGTTGGGGTGCACCCCATCAGCGGCATCCTGGGCTTCCTGGCCACCCTGCTCCCGCATGAACTCTTGCAGCGCTAGCAAAGCGTGGGCACTGAGCTGCGGCACATCGTCGTCGTCCTCCATGGCGTTGGAAGGGCCCCCAGGACTGATCTAAAGAAGGCTTGGACTCACCAAAACAACAGCATCTGCAACATCAGGAATGCGACTCTCAACATCAAATTACTTTCAGGGAGAGAGGAGGGAGGGATCCAGACACACACACACACCCCTGCACCCCCCCCAAACCCTAATTTGGGGATTCTCTGAGATGCGTCCCCCTGGAATGAATGAATGAATGAGCACACCTCCACAACGAAAGTCATGTGAGAGCGGAATCCTCTGTTCCACCTCAATCAATCATGTCAATTATTTCAAGTGTTTAAAATTAAGGCTTCTCATCTTGTCTTATGAGATTACAAACTATTTCAAATGTTATTTGGTATAAATTTTACTTTTTCTAGTTAAATTAATAATTTTAATTGCATCAATTTTTTTTGTTGAAAGAAAATATATTCTATATGTAAATGTTTGAGAAATTTCTTCAAAGTATTATAAAACTTTTAATCTAGTCACTAACATCTTTTTCAACTTTAAACACTAATTTTTGGAAATGGTGTTCTACTTATTTGTAACCAAATAAAACATATAAAAATAGTAATTAAAAAATTGATGTAGATTTTTTTATTAATTTTTTTGGTCTAAAATACAAAATTGGAATATATTAGATTCCAAAAACTAATGAGTAAAAAGAAAAATTCACTTTCGTGTGCAAAAAAAGAGAACAACAAATCAAGCAACAACAAGAGAAACTAGTAATGGAGTAGGAAGGTAGTTGGTTGCATTCACTATAATGAATGACAAAAAAAGTGCTTCTTTATTTAATTCCCTAACAAAGGCAAATACAATTGCAAATAAACTAAGACATATATTTATGTTAGTACTAACTTAAATTAAGAAGCAAGACTATTAGACAATTAAGCTAATATAATCACAAATGTGTAGATATCATTTTTTTGTTACATTTTAGAATAAAAGATATTTTATATGTTAGTAAGCTAAAATTATACAAGATTATTATTGAATGTTATATTAGAACAAATAATAATTATGCAATCATTTAGATTGTGATAGAGGCTATATTACAATTTATTAAATATTTTGTATATTAAAAGTTTATATGCAAAAATGGTTTGTATTGCCCAAGTTTTAGAAAGATTTTATACTTAGGGTACTAGATGAGAAGTCATAACCTTTTAATTCTCTAATTAGTTATAATTGAGAAGCCTCACTAAATTGGCTTTTATACTTAGAAAAATTAACTGCAGTGGAATGCATTTAGTTTTCTATATGTCACAAATAGTGTTGTCTACTAGAATTTCTTATGAGAAATTTAAGATTCATATAATTAATTTGAATGGAAATTTGATCTGTTGTATTTAGATTCATAGAAATAGACTATTTGATTTATTTTATGTTTCCTTTCTATTTTATTATATATCCAAAGGCTAAGGTGATGATAAAAAGAATTTTTTTCACCAAATAAAAAACCTTGATAATGCTTTTAAATTTTAGTCTTTGAAAGTGGACTTCTCAATATAAAATCTCCCTTCAATGTTGGATTGTGTCAATTACCCCATTAAGCACCTCACAACAAAGAAATCCTTCATAACATCTCCCCATTATGACAATTCTCATACTTAAAATAAAACTACACAATTTTTAATACATTTTAATTTTGATTATATATATATATATATATATATCCTTCTCAATTAATCGAAAGATTTAAAAATCAAAATCTTTCACCTTCTCCCATAAGTATAAAGACCTCTTGAAGCAATCTGTAAATCGCTGTCACCTTCTGTCCATCATTTCACACAATCCTGAAGCATCGATAACATGTCCCACTCTCAACTGGTCATAGGGGAATATGTACCCAACTAGGACTTAGTACTGAATGAACAAAAAATCTAAATAGCTCATTGTACCGGAACATTTTAGCAAACTCTCAACCCTATCTAATTAAAACCCCAAACTTTCAACCCTGCACCCTTCCTACTAATATTTTAGGAGTTCCCAACTATTGGTAAACGTTAGTGAGCTGCTTACAAAACTTGAAGCAACTTCCCCACATTCATGTCTACAGACACACATGGAAAACGAACGGAAGAAGTAAAAATCTGAGTGCGAGCTGGGTACCTGGTCCTGCAAAACCGCTTTAACCACCTTCTTAACATATCACACCTCTTCAAACTCTTGTCACATAAATATATTTTGCGCAGCCAAACTGCCCATTGGCGTTGCTCCATAGTGTCACTAGTCTGCCGCACTAAGTTTGAAATGCATTCTACTAAGGGGTAGGGACCATTCTTTTGGTGCAGTGGTTCTGAGGTGGCACATGTGGAGCTTCACCACGGCACTCAGTGGTCTCATTTAGGGAACGCTACGGAGCTTGGATGAGAGATTCATGACGTTTTAGCCCTACCTGCACTGTGCCCAATCGAACTTAGATTTGACGCCTGCAACGTTGAACACAGTGACGGAAAACGAAGGAAATGATAAACTTGCAGCAACGAGAGTGTCTTTCAAGTTCCGTCGTATAGCAGCGCGACTCCGAATGCGCAATATGTCGAGCTTTGGTTCCAGCGAGTCTTGATCGTTTTCGACGTCCAAGTAGAAAAGGGCTACAAAGAGCAAGTTGACTGCCTTCTCGACAAGGGCACGCCCATCATTACTGAGGTACTTCTTGGATGCGCCTATCAAGAATGGTACATTCCCTGACGCGTCAAGTTCACATGTTTTACCCCTGGGCACCTAGATGGCCAAATTGCGGCGGAGGCAACATCCGCTCGAATCGGGCTGGAGCCACTTTAATTCCTTAATGGCGACATGGCATTTTAATTCGGCATCGGTGTCGACGTTCACTATAATACTCAAAAACCCCACCAGGCTGTCTAATTGCTGCTCCTTCTTTTCGGAACGCAATTCTCCACAACCCAGAGATATGAAGGCCCTTGCCTTGTGCCTAGGCCACAAAATTCGAGTTTCTTCGATGGCGACTGCGGCTGGGCCGTTCAATTGCGTACCACAATCGACCCAAAAACGATTACCAGCGAGATAAGCTGGGAAATAGGTGCCGGAGACTGACGTTGTTGCAGCAGGCTCTTTTGCGCTAGAGAGATGGTTATTAGGCACACGCCCGTGGATCAGTTTGCGAGTTGGCTGGTCTTTCTTCCAGAGTGCTTCTTTAACCAGGTCATCGCTCTCATCCTCTAGCATCGGGCGGTTGTAGGAGGTGAACCATAAAGCAGCGAGGTTGTTTTCGGGGTCACATGATGGGACCATGACATGCGTCCCATCGACACAGCTATGCAGCAGCAACTCTTCTTCAAAATTTTCCTTCAAAGTTTCAGCAAATTATCGTTTATATATTTGGTACTGTAAATCCCGAGAAACTGGAAGGTCTGCAGAATTTTTTTCAGTTACATGCACCAAATCTCAACATCTTGGGTGAGAAAACCTCCACACTCAAGTCCTTGAACAGCTTTTTATCATCTCCGGTAGGCGCTTTGGTTGCTCATTGAATGCGTGTATGGTAGGTGCGAGTGCAATGATGTCCCCGGTGCTTGTGCCGACGATTATATCGAACAAATCCTCGACATGCACCCTGGAAAAGAAGGACAATATTTCTTGGAACGAGAGCAGCTCGACGATGCCTCAGACGCCTCCGCCTTCCAGTGAGAGGATGCGGTAGCCAGCCAACGGGGGCAGATCCTTCCGATAACACTTGGCGGAACAAAGACAAACGGGGCAGGTCAAGTCGACGATCATCTTAGGCGACCGTATCTCGGTCTCTTCGCTTGCACACATGACACAGATAATGTGACCATATGAAAGCACCTCCGACGGCACCTCGACCATGCAAATTAAACAGACTCGGTAGGACCTGAAAGAATCTTTAAAAAATACTCATTACAAAAAGACTGACGCAAAAAGAAAGCCATCCCCCGATCAAATTCACATCCAGTATTTCTGCATTATGAAGGGCGCCATCCGCCAGACTGACGAGCCTACATGCGTCTGATTCACGTTGCTCATTGAGATCCGTAATGAAGTCCCCAAACCACCGAACAGCACTCTCACCTTCAGTTTGCGAAGAAACATCTGTACCATGTGTATGCATGTATCGCACTGTGCCGCAACAGTGCTTTGTACTACCAATTACTGTCTCCGCGGCACACGGCAGCTCTCCATCGATCAATGTTTGAGCTTCGACGAGGGCTGGTCGAAGATCCGGGCGTAATTGGGCATTCGCACCGACCAGCAGGTGCCTGCCCTGTCGGCTGATCCAGAGGACCACTAACCACCTAATGCACCGTCCGAGGACGTCAAGCGATATCCTGTGTCTCTTCAATACTAAATGGGGATGCGTCGCCTTCTCGATTGCCCGACGAAATTCGACAATGAATCCAGCAAGTCCGTTGGATGTAGGCCAACTGGCCTTGTAGATGTCAAACTTTCCATGTGGATTCTCGCAGAAGGTGTCAGCCGCACGTTGTATGTAAAACTGAAGCTGGGAGTTGGTGAAGGGCTGATTCGCATTCTCTCGAGATGTCCGAATATACCTGAAAGACCGATTGATCTCCTCACGCACCATCTTCACTCGCCGAAAGACTGTGGCGATATTGACGGCCTCCTGCCAAATAAGAATTACTAGCGGATCCAAGAAGTACTGCTGAAGTTTGTTGCGACTATCGTCATTGTTTCCCTGGATCCATTTTTTGTATGTCTTTCGAAAATCATCAAACTCCGGCTGTGTAGCCTCCTCACCAGTATTGTTAATTATGAGAATCATTTGACGGCGATGCTGATTTGCCGCTCCAACAGCCGCCGAACAAGCCCATACCAACAATGGTTTCACGATAGATTCTCGCTCCAGCCAGTCAGCTAAAAAAAGACGAAATATAGGACGTCTTAAAAGATTTAGAGCATGCGCGGTTACGATACCTGAACGTGCTCCAAGCGTTTTCTCTAGTAGTCTTCGTAGCTTGTTTAGTTTCAGTGGAAAATGTTGTGGAGATTCTTCCGCGTGCTCTGCATGGAGCGCGGCTCCTTAGAGCCACCCCATCCTTCTCTGTCGACAAAGTGCAGAGGGTATGTTGAGGCGAAGGCGGATTGTGCCCGAGAGTCGGTCGGTACTTGACCGTTGGCGTACATGTGAATATCGGCCAACGTTCATTGCAGATCGTCCGGTGCGCCAGCCAGAGGCATGTGATCTGCATGTCTCTCACCATTGAAAGAAACAGGGATTCGCAGCAAGGTGCTCTTGCCTACTCCGATTGGTCCGATGAACGTCACCAATGATGGTCTCGCACTCGAATCTGCGACCAGGTTTGAGAGTCGTGGCAGCAGGTGGATGCGGTAACTCATCGGACTCATGCGAATTTGTTATTGCTATCTTTGGTCACTTGCTCATCTGTTGGAAAGGAACCGTCGATGCCGCTCTTCAGTTATGAGGTACTCGTAAATCTTCATCCGCTCATGTAACTTAGTTGTTTAGGAATTGTGTACAAGAACCGTAACACACGTTGCGCATAGGGGTGCCTCGCAGTTCAGGCAAAAAACCACCGCCGGACCCGGTTCTCCTGCGCAATTTTTGCACCTCGCTCGGAATGGCGAGGACGAGTACGAGACTGCGGCGAAGTTTGACGTTGCTGGGTGGCCAGATCTATCGACGTCAGCCGCTTCACCAGTCGTCGACATGTTAGAGTGACAATCTGAGATCGCAACGGGAACAAGCAAGAGTAGTGCCGTTTTGAAGGGGAGAGCAAAAGCTGAATAAAAACTGCATTTGTCTCGTCTATCGAGAAAGTAGCAGAGGAGCGACGAATGGACAAGTGGAGACTTTAAAGGCAAGCAGAATTAGGTCCGCGGGAAGTGTGCTGATCAAATTTAGGATACATAGTAGGTAGGCACCGACAATAGCTCACGTAGTTGAGCGTTGACTGCATAAATGCACTCCACTCCACCCTTAAGATATCGCTGAAACTCTTGGGCGAGAGCGCATCTTATTGAAATCTGGTGTGGGTGCTATTTGCAACGAGCTGCACCCGGCAACTTCTAAAGTGGACATTGGATGGTGGACTCGCGGCCACGTTTCAACGCAGCAGTCACGCGATTCCACGGCAAAGCATGGATGTCTCCGTCGAAGTTATTATTCTACCTTGGGATAGACGGCCACCAATCAGTCTTCACCTCATCCTCGGCATAACTGGCTTCAAACACAGCGCCATCGGCGAGGGAGGAATTGGTGCTGAGCTAGTACCATGGTAATTTTCTTTTCTTCAACCATGAATGTTTGTTGTGCAATTTTAACAATTTTTTTAATATATTTTCTGCCGGCCGGCCCTCGATATAGTTATGGGAGGAGGATTAAGGTATATGTATGTATGTATATATATATATATATATAGCAAAACATGTATAAAGTATGATTAGTTAGAATTGACCTTGCGACCAGCTTAATGCGATTAGAAACCTCAGCCACTAAACCCTTCTTTCTAGCTGATGACTTTACCATGCAATATCACATTAAAATCTACGTCCACCTCAGTTCGTAAAGGTCCAAGACTCACGACCAAGGTCCGAAAATTACTTACTCACTTGAATGTGCCCAGGAGCCTCTCGGGAAGTTCACACACTCGCACACACACCCAACTCGAAAAGCAGAAATCAGCAAATCAGTACATCGACACTCATAACTTCGGGGCCTTCCATTACAAAGTGATCCCCCTTTTACCGCCAACCACCGAAACGGCACGGCCCCTGCAAGCGATCCACGCCTTCTTCACGCGATCTGACCACCTGCATTGTGAAAAGAGAGGGATGGAAAACTCTGTCAGGGCATCGTTTATGCTCGGGATATCCGTTTCGAGAGGGGCGTACTCAGAGACCAGTTAACGCCGTCGATTCTAATGTATTGCATCCATGCTGGCTGATGCTTACTCTACGTAGCGTTCATATGAACCGACAACCTCCTGGCTTCACACTACGAGGTTGGCTGCTTTCCGATCCCCTGTCTCCCTGGAAAATGCGTGCCATGCACTGTTTGCCCTGGTCACAAAATCATGTTACGACCTCTCAATCTATTCTGCTGTCACGTCAGCATTAGCTGTAAAATTGAGATCTAACGTGAGTAGTTTTAATATATTCTAATGTCAATGTTAGATGCTTTCATGTCACCGTTAGTCACAAATTTACCAGCATAATCAAATTTTGAATTCATCAACCCTTACTAGATTCATATTATATGTTTGAAACCCAATCGAATTCTTCCAGTATTAAACCAATACTTTATGTTGTTAAACTTGAACTCCTTCACAAACAGAAAAAGTTTCACCGGTTCTAGTTATATTTCGTTCCTTATCCCAAACATAGATCCAGGTTTTAGGATTGTGTCTCCGCATGAAATCACATCCTCGACAATCTTGAGAACTGCAATTTTGTCCAACGTTTGGTGTTGCAAGACACAGCAATGACGTGCGGGAGAACTTTGAGAATTCGGGCAGTTCTTTGTGAAAACCAGTAGGGTGGCCATCCAAATAGAAACGGAAGGTTGACGAGCAATTGATAGGCTTGGAGGAAGTCGGGAATGGTAGTGGGAAGACGAACCCAGACATTACTTTCACTAACCAATCTTTGACGCACATGGAGTAGGCGCAACAAGATGAAATTTATATTAAACATCTTTCTCGCCGAGAGATCTATCCTATACATAGCACTTCACAAATAGGGTCCACAATCCCACACCACTGCTCATTCCACTAATGTGTTCACACAAAACTGATTTTTCACAAGCGCCTTATTTTCAATCGTTCTAAACCCGGCATATGCTGTTACAGAATGTAAACTATGAATCACGTCATCTTACATTACATATCACCAGGCCTGGTTGCGAAATAATCGACGTGCAATCAAAACCCTGTTAACAAAATTTGTAAAATAAGTTCGGGATCGCAGTAAACAGCATTACATTCACAACAATACTTTATTGAGGTGCAAAGTAACTCACTAGAATCCCACCATTTAGTCAGGATGAACTTCAAAAATCCATTTGCAAACAGAACAAACACATTCTTGTATAGGATTGTGGCATTAACTCAAATGTCCACAATGCAAGCAGGTTTTCACGGCAGACCTTCTAGTTAATAGCACAATCCATTCCGAAAACTGCGACAGTGATGAAAACCCTCGATACAAGTGAAATTTCACAGGAGTCAAGCCTTGATTTCAGCTCAGGGTTGCTGAATGGATGAAGCATTCATATACAGATTGTGCATCTTGATGTGATTGATCACTGAATCAGGGATCAAATATTTCACCGATAAGCCCCTAGCCAAATTTCGCCTGCACCGGAGATGGTTGGCTGTTAGTCCTGGACCTGCTAAGAGTAGTAACAAAACTAGCGCAAAATTGTTGGTTAACTCGGAGCCATAAAAAAATCTTCATAGAATTTGCGTAAGGAATCAAGTATGAAGTCACACTAATGATGGGACAATGTAGCAGGTATTGACGCATAATGTCCTGCAATTCAGAGAATGAACACGGTGGAAAAATAATTGACATAAGTGTGGAGTACCTGACTGCTGTTGCACTTATAGTATTTTGAATGATCTCATCCACCACCAAAATCTGTCTCTAGAGATACACACAAAATATATAAATGTAAGGAATATATATAAAAGAGAGATGAGCACCTACTGAACTACTTCGGAGACTGCTACTTTGCTAAGAATACTTTAACATCATAAAATATGAATAATAGACCTACAGGTAGAGTCACAATAGCAAGGATAGAAATCCGAGTCAACGCCTAAGAATCACGACCAAACTTCAACTTAGAAGAACACAACCAAAATGTTAGGATGATGATAACCAAGAATACTTACTTGGTTATTATACAAGATGTCGTGTTCAAACACAAGGCGTCGTGCATCCTTCCCGTTTCGATTTATGCACACAATTCCATAATCTTGTAATAAAGCCCGCACCTGAAGAGAGACAAATTATTCTTGTATTTTGCCCACTTACAAAAATCATTATCGGAAGGGCTAAGGAACATCACAGCACTATGAGGCATGTTGAACAAGATATCGGTTAAAAAACATATAAATTTAGTTGTCCCACCAGGAGAGCATGATGTGGAAGGATTAACAAAACGCATTTAAACATGTAAATAGCGACAGACCTGGTCCGGTATCCACACGCCTGGAGTTGTGAGAGACTCAAGCAGATCAGTTCCGCAGAGGAGCATCACTCTTACTTTTTCTGCAAAACCCTCTCCATGTCATTCAAAAGCAGGATGCAATACATCACACACACGCCTAATACAGTCAAAAGGCATGGCAACTTGAAGATGATGAAGAATTCTGTACAAACACAACCGTTACTGCAAAATTAAATGAAAAAACTACAAACTTACCGTCAGAGGCCAAGTTACTTGAATTGACTGCTGCTTCAATCCTTGTCAGCACAGTAAGCGTTCTCTGGTACGAACTCTGTTTAGCCTACTCACGCAACCGCATCCAGCATTATTGACTTCAGACTCCCCCAGAGATAAAAAGGCAGGAAAGATATTCAAAACGAGCGGTGAGTAAAGTGCAGAACTTACCTCCCAGGAGTCTACCATTATAGTAGGCGAATCACAAACAGCCAACTGGCACATCCTAATACGGTGATCTGCGGAAGCAAGACCCTTGCCATTTTCAAATGTACATACGTCAGCACGAAGTGATCATTATCATTCGAAACGAAGCTTTCTAACTCAGATTGACAAATAAGTAAAATTTTCCGTGCAGTTTGGCATGCCGACAAACCAACTTACTTCAACATAATCCGGTTCTGAAATATAATGACATATACACTCACAGAAGAATACAACAAATCAACTTATAGGTTGACAGTCAAGAAGACAATACAGAAAGCATCAACCTTCATGATTGGAACCCTTGTTTAACAAGTAAGCTAAATAATTTTCTGAAAAGGAGTAACTGGCACCTTCTTGTGGAACTGATCATTGACAGGAGACATATAGCCTCCAAGTACATGATGACCTTCTGCTGTGAGAGCATCCCTACCCAACTCTGCATCGACATTCAGAGAAGATAAGTGTAAGTGTGTCTCTCCAATGACCACACAGCAAATATCTTTCAGCAACAGTATGCATCTGAAACTTGGTAAGCATGAAAAAATTTAAAAGGAGGGATGAGCTAACCAAACATGCGAAGATGCATATATGTCGGTGGATTAAAGCTCCCGGGGGCTAGTAGAACAACGCGCGACCTTTTGCTACATAAAAACAAACAATAGAGCCAACCGCATCAAGGTCTCGTTTTCAGATATATTACCTGCTGCGAAGCACTGACCACACATCCCACTGCCATACAATTGTAGTAACAATGCTACAAAAGACAACAGAACTCACTGATTTGCATCGCCTAAGAGGTTGGCATGAACAAGGAGCTTTTCCATAGGCAATGGCATCTCCACTACCCCTGCATACAGTTAAAAAATGACGATTACACGCCATTACTTCTTTAGAATCAAACGAAACTGTAGAATGAAAAACATCTTTACGCTTGCAAAATGCTTAAATCAGGAATTTAACAGGTTGAAAGTAGCATTTCAATATCTAAACTCTTTTTCTGTTAGGAGAGTTTTTTAGGCACCTGGGGCAGGGGGTGGGCGGGGTAGGCCAGGTACAGATACGTGCCCGGGGGTCCCTTGTGTCCCTTGAGCAGGAGATCGGCTACGAGCCCCCTGGCGATCACCCATGAACTCAGCCATGGCTTCAAAAAGCTGCACCCTAAATGTCGCTGGCAGCTCCTTAGCCTTAGTCTTTTCTTTCTTCAAGACCTCGTCTAATTCCCAGTAGTTTGGCCGCCCCACTTTTTTATTCCAATCAGCAATCTGCTTAAACGCAGTAGAGAGATTTGACCACTTGCGTTCAATTTCCTTGGGCTGTCTGTCCACTCCAGAGGCTAAAAGAAGGGTCCTTACTTCATTCCATTTATCATTAGCAGACTTAAATACCTGCTTCCCTTTCTTTCCCGCTGCTGCGAGTTTCATATTAACCTCCCGAAAGGCTTTTACAAGAGCATCCATTTCAGCATCCTGCCACATTTCTGCTCGTTTCTTCCTGGCAAAACCTTCCTTGTCCGATCTTTCTTTTCCATCTCCATCTCCTCCATCCTCATCATCACCAACTCCCGCTCCTTCGCCGCTACTCGCCCCAAGGTCTCCTTCAACTATATTACCCTCAATCCCAACAAGAGCGCCCATCCTAATGTCCCTGTACGGCATCACAAGTCCCCCAAAAGAAGGCACTGCGGGAGGAGGAGTTGCAATGACATTTCCACTGGGAGAAACATCCTTCGGAGATCCCGAAGGCCTGTCCACGCCTTGAGGCTCCTGCCACCAATCCGGACGTTTCTGCCTCTTGTTGGCTGTTTCGGACTCTGACAAACCCATGCTCTCGCCATCCTTGCTCACAGAGTCACGAGAAAACCCATCGTGAGGGAATGTACCCTTTTCCACAAACGACGGAAACGCGACCTGAGGTTCCCTTACAAAGCCTTCGCGGGTTGTGTACCCTGCACTGCCATAAGGTGATTGTCTTTTTCCCCCAGAGAAGTTGTCCCGCCCAAACTGGTTGCTAAAATTGTGCTCTGCTTGCTCCAAGTTGGTCGAGGTGGACAGGGCTCCTTCGAGTACCGCGGAAGAGGGAGGAGCCCCCTGTTCCATCTCTGCGCTAGTCAATTTCAACGAAAAGTAAAGAGAAAGTGGAGGCTCATGCACGACAACCAACTTCCTCGCACACATTGCCACTCAAAGAAATCGCTGCTTTAAGTTGCTCACTGTCTTGGCCATTTCAGACACGTCGATTTACGGGAGTGGACAATGATTTCTACAGTCCACTATCCCAACTCAAGCCAATGGATCTTGAGGGTTACTGTAGTATACCTGAAGTGATCGAAATGGCACACTGTGTGCAGCAGCGTCACTCTTTCTCTTCTTCCATCCTGAAAGAGTCGAGAACATCAATTCCCGTCAGTAGGAGCTTTGAAACTAGTATTATTTGCATCAATGAGAGGCCTACATACTTACAAAACTAACAAGTTTATTGCCTTCCCCGCTGCCAGATGTGCTTAAGATGCTGTTAAATTGAAACGCACCAAGGTTGACAAACTTACCAAGTTCGGTTTGCGGTACACGCGGGGGAGGTACCAGGGCGCTCCTGTCCGCACAGTAGGTGGCACCAAGCACAACAGAGAAGGAAAACCAATGTCGGAGACGTTGTAGGAACCGAATCCAAGACAGCCTGCCAGCACGCTTGACATTAAACTATGGCGAAACCCTACATCCGACGCCGAGCTGAAAATTAGTGCAAGACTTTAGCAATCAAAAACAAGCCAGCAGACAGAAAGGTCCATCCGTAAATTGTTACATCTACAGATGTGCCAATGTCACTGCAAGTGGTTGGAAAGAAAAATTCAGATTAGGACACTTCAAAACTGTTTGCAAATTCAAACATTATCTCACTCTTGCACACTTCTTCTTAATTATGATGAATTTGAGAAATCATTCAGAAGTATTCAGTTCGCTCTTAGAATGCAAAATTCGAACGACACTTTACTGAGTACCAGAAGCCAATCAGTTTAAGAGTCAACGCTGCACGGATGGCACTCTGACAAGCCTAACTTTCGAGTCACACGCAGTCCGAAACCCTAAACCAAGGTTTACCCCTCTTCCAATATTGTCGCAAACTTCACTCAAATCAATTACAGAACGGAATTAAAAAATACTTCAAAAAAAAACAACAATTCAAATCAGGAAACCAACAAAACTGCCCCCGCCCCAAAAGATATTTTAAAACAAATATATTCTTATTTAAATAAGTAAGTGCGCAAAAATACTAAAACTAGAGCTAAAAGGTTGCGGGTTAGAAAGGAACAACAACTGCGAAATTGTGTCGCGAGTAAGGAGCTTGGGAGGAAAGGCAAAGAAAGAACAAACCCCACCTGGTGGAAGGGTGCAAACGGTCAATCAAGAGCAGTTCCTGGCTCAATCAACTAACAAAACCCCTGCTTGATAGCGGCGAAATCGAACTCCTCCTCGTCAGCATCGTCCATGGAAATTCTCTTCGACAAATCAATCGTGACAGAGACAACAAAACCCTGGATAAACCTCAAGAGCTGCGGTCGGAACGGATGGAGAACCACGAGAGGATGGACAATACTATCCCGCTACCTCACTGCCCCACAACAGACCCAACAATCAGCCAATTGTTATCGCGGTGTTTGCACCATAAAAAATAGAAAATCCAAGGATACCGAATCACCCTGACCGCAATACGTCGAAGGAGTGGAATAAATCAACCATCGACAGAGTCACAAAGACGCTGCAGTGTGCGTCTGTGATGAGGAGCCAAAGGATGAACAAACCAGTAAAGAACTTCAACCAAAATCCGAGATAAACTGCAGGCATCCACTTGGAACTTACCACCGACAAAGAAGTAGCACAAGCACAAGCAGAAGAAGATGAAGAAGAAGGAAAAGAAGAAAACTCGAGGAATGGTGTGGCTTCAGAAATTCGAACTCAGGCAGACAGACTCACTCACTCACTCACTCGCTCACGCACTCTCACAGCCAAACCCTCTCTCTCTCTCCCCTCCCACATCGCTTGTGCTCGCCACGCTCGTAGGTCCACGGTAACGGTTGTAGGTTCTCTTTCCTACAACCGCTCCACTGCACAAATCCCAGCGTCATAATTGGTTCGTTGCGGTGAGACAGAATTTGGACCCTCGCTTTCTTTGATGAACTCCCTGGTTATCATTCATCCACGCATCTACTCATTCATCCATCTTCAAAAGTATTTGAAACTTTTTTTAAAAGTTCCTATTTGACTTTTCTTTTCTTTTTCTCCCTATCCAGACCTCTGAGTAGCTCATCACACTTTCATTGCACTACAAAGATTTTTTTTTTAAGATAAAAAAGAAAAGAAAAATGAAGAATAACATAGAGAATAATAATAATAATGTTTTTGAAATTTAGACAGCGTTTTTCTTCATGTGATCTATCTTTTTATTTTGTTAAAATTGTAGTTTCAAAGGCTGAATCCAATCTAACAGGGACAAGATTTGATCCGATTAAACTGGGAAAAGGTTAAGGTTTAGGGTTTTTAAGTCCAGGATAAATAAGACCTTAGAAAGTAGGAACAAACAACCGCCTTAGGAAAGGAAACCCCAATAGTAATAAGGGTCACCCGAAGCAGTACAAAACTCTCTCTTGCTATTTCATTTTTTATCAATTTAAATACAAAGTGTCATTCACACCCAAGGCTGTATTTTTTTTATTTTTTTTAAATATGTGTTTTTTTTTTTACTATTTAATTTGCGCATTCTGCCCAGTGACTTGCTCATGAAGTTTGCTTGAACCAATGAAGTTGAATAACATTACTATTGCAACATTAATAAGGGAATAAAGTTACAGTTTGTTACTGCATTCTAAAGGTTTATAATTTTGGGGATTAATTCCAAATTTTACACTTAATTACTAAAAAATTATTATTTTGTACGACTACATATCATTTTTTTGGAGTAAAATAAAATATTATTCTTCTTCCTCTTCAAGAGTTCCACTAAATAAAACCAGAGATTTAGATTTTTTTGTAAATGAAAATATAGTTCTAGTTTACCGTTGATTTGAAAATGCTTTATTTTATTTTATTTTATTTTGAAACATATGGAAAATGTTGCACTTATATTATTTAAACCTGTGATGTGTTCAAATTTATTTGAAATTATTTTCCTCTGATAAAAAAATTATGATTAAGAATGCCAACATTAAATGCATTATATATATATATATATATATATATAAATACATATATTTTAAAATATATATAAATATATATATATAAATACATATATTTTAAAATATATATATATATATATATATATATATATAAATACATATATTTAAAAAATATATATACACACATACATGTGTGTGTGTGTGTGTGTGCGCACTTTTGATCAAGAAAATATCAAAAATAAGCAGAAGAATGATTAGTAAATTTCAAAACTAAAATTTTCAAATCAATACATACAACGATATTTGTCAATAAATATTATTTTCTGATAGAACGTTACATTTAATTACAACTCCACGTGCAGGTTTTGCAAGCAAAATTCAAGGATGGTACTGAGAAAGAACAGTCCTTGTGTTGAGATTCCATAAGCAGTCATGCAATTTATTTATTTATTTACTTTTGTCGTTGTTCGCACTGTTTTCAACCAACAGGGATACATGACAAGCAGTGCCATCAAAACTCGTGCTGGTATCACAAACATTCCGTGTGGATTCAAAGGGGGAAAAGGAAGAAAAGCACAAAAAAAGTAGTTACCAATATGTGAGAATTCTAAACTGTTGGCATTGTCAAGCAAATGAAATAAGTCAACAAATGAAATAAGTCCACAAATGTCAGTCGGAAGGGAAGGTGAAAAGAACCCTCATTCAGAATTTGTATGCATTCTCCCCACCAGAATGAGCAGCTGGGTCACAAGCCCCAACAAAGGAATAAGGAACTGACTGATTGAATCTGCTTCGGCAACACTGGATCTGTGCTGAACAGAGAGCTTCGGTAAGCAACCATTGGAGTGGTCACTCCGCTCACATTGTAGAAAGTAAATGAGTGAAGATGTTCGGTGGTGGTGTGTCAGATATGCTAATCTAGTTTTACTGTCGTTGTGATTCGTGTTTTACCGTCCATCAGACTCGCATTTCGCAAGAGGGCTCAGAGAGTTGGAGGCGACGACATCACGGTCCACTGAAACAGACTGTTTGGAAGGAAAAGAGGGTTGACGGTAGATAGAGGATTGTAACGGCAGAGTGAAATAAACCTTTTTAATTTTTTAATTTTTTAATTTTTTTTTAACTATCCAGCAGTGCCATATCCGTGCACACAGGCGTGAGTGAAGCGCACGATATGTGCGAAAAGTTAGATTCACTGTACATCACATGCCACCACATTCGATGGTGGGATACAATCCGTATCTAGCTAGAATGTTGGTCTCGTCATCTGGATGCAGAAAACTTGGTAAGCTTCTACCTCTCTACAGGCTAATTCAGCTAAACCCTACAATACTCACTTAAATCAGTGAGTAGAAAAATGTTGCTACTTAAGGACTAGAAGTTTCACATGTTGCGAGATGAGACATGCCTCGGTCTGTGACAGACGGAAAACGTATTTACAAGCTTTGCGCAATGGAATTATACGCACTGTCGACTTGATACTTTGATCGAACAATATCCAGTCGCTGATGATTTCTACTTCGCTTCACACAGAGACTTGCTCGGCTATTCAGCTCGGCCGTTGGGCTGACCAGGAAAAAATACAAAAGAAAAAAATAGAAAAAAAGAAAGAAACAGAAAAGAGCAGGGTTCTTGTCGCAGCCTTCGATTCATCACAAAATCTGAGGCACCTGAGTTTTTTCTGGCGAGGTGAAGGATTGATCCGTCCGGAATTCAAGAGCATGATCCCGTATAAAATCGAGCTCCACGAGGTGTATTTTACAAGCCCACATTCGGCTAGCTCGAAAATAGATTGATCAGGATCGACAAAAATCTACTAGATGTAGAAAACCCAGCGCCAGTAACTGATGATGAATGGAATGTGTCGCAGATCTCTGGCATCACGACCCTGAGATTGGAAATCAAGTTTCACCTGGGGTTTGAGAAGGCTTGGAGACTCACCGAATTCCACCATCTTCCATACACAGCTACCACACCTCCAGCTGATGGTCCACGAAGTTGTCTATTCGCTGATCTTTGCCTCCCCGTAATGTGCGTCTTAGTGTGTGTATTTAGTCTGGTCATGAAATCATGTTACGACCTCCACATCCATTCACCTTGCATATCAACCGAAATCCGTTTGATTTTTGGTGTTTACATGTGTCGGTGCACAGATGTAACGAATTGAAGAGTTAGGTGGAACCTTCGTACAGGTATCACGTTCCAGCTCATGCAGAGGGAGTGAACCCTAGAGAGGAGAAGATGGAGACAAGGACGTGACGGAGACCAGGTTGATTGCCGCGACCGACAATGTGAAGCGCCCCCTCAGCCGCTAGAAACTGCTTCTCCTGGTACCGATAGATACCCAGAACCTCTTCCCGGCCGTTAACGTTAACAAAGCACTTATAGTAGACATTGTCTTTGTCCTTCGTCCCTTTGATGAACAGATTTTGCAAGTCGAGGTCTATCCTGCTGGAGCCCACAATCTGGATGCTCGTGCGGTAGGTTTGTGCCGTGGAAGGCTTCGGAGAGTGACTTTCCTTAAAGCTGGTTTGCTTGTTACATGAAAGCAGGCTGCCGGACACTGAAGCTACATTTGCCACCACCAGATCGTCATACGTGATCAGCACTGTGTCCTGTGCCTCCTCCCATCCCCAACTCCCCTTCTCGATCTTCACACGATCGGCCTGACATGTAATCCGGTGCGCGAGTTAGATCATGCTCACAGTGACAGCGATGCCTTGATATGAGTCGATAACAATGATCAGTGCATGGGATTGGATTCAAAAATCTACCTGCAACGTTTGTGAAAACCCACGGTCACTGCTCTCAATCTTGGCACTCATGGCGACATCCTTTGAAAACCATTTGCGAGGATATGAGAGCTCCACGTTGTACGCAGACTTCCCATCCACCTCTGTCAAGACAATTTGGACTCGCTTATTCTTGCGCAACCTCTCCGCAACGTTGTGAATGGGCACCTGGTAGGTGCTTACTCCGAAAGACGGCCGCTCTTCTGTGCAAGACAAGCACTTTCGATTGTCACCACCCTGTAGAAGATACAGAGGCAGTATTAGACACATCCAACTTAATATCATTCATTGAAGAACAGGTCATATGATATGCGTTAAGCCGAGATAAGGAGCATACGCAGGGCTTCCCACCTTCTTGTATTCCTCGCACAATCTGAGTGTTAAGCTGTAGAACTGGCATGCGAACTCGCTCATTTTCACTGCCGTCTTGTGAACGCCGTGATTAGAATTTGGCAACTGCTTAAAGCAAAGCTTTTCCATAAATGCGAAGGCCTTGCTGGAGTAGAGGATGATGTCCTCCAACACCTCCAGGTACCTCGTTAGATTAGAGAGTCCCAAAATGATCTGAAGAATTTCCTGTAAGCCAACAACCGTTGCCAGAAGCCCGTGGCTCTCTTCCTTGTAGAGGGAAGAGATACACTGAAACTGCTTACACTTGAGAATCACAGAATTCACTATCTTCGCAGCTGTGAAATCAATGGCTAAGGAGTAGTCCAGGGGTGTGGAAGGACGACGCCGGTGTAGACCCAGCGAGTAGTCCTCTTCTTCATCTTCAGGTTCCAGAACACTTTCCTGCAACAACTTCAAACTGTGAAGGGCCCTCATTTGCTCGGAGTACTCACGCGGTGCCTTCACGGCGGGCTTTGAACCTTCATAACTGCACATTCACAAACCAACCCAGCAGATGTCAGTCCAAGTTTGATATTCACCACACCCCCTTACGAGAGTCTATCAGAACTCAAGTGCAAGACAATCGCACTGCCGAGCGTAACTGCAGTTCAGATCCCTAGCATCTTCGAGATTCCACACGTAGTCTGTCGGAGGATGCTCCTTACACAAAGAAGAGTACCCGCGTTGCTCATCCTCGATACAGTCTTGTTACCTGATTCCAGGGAGACTCACATTCCTAGGGTGACCACAGCCCTACAACTGTCGAGACAACGACCATGGACCAACAGAGCGGCAGTAAAACGGATCCTGGTACAAAGATAAGTGTTTGAACCTGGAGATTTTTTCGTTTGCATGTACAGTGACCTTCACAGCGGACTGCTGTCGGGGCTTTCTCAGAAGGCTGGATGTACGAACACGACGGCGGAGGCGGATGCAATGTCTCCATAGCCTCCGGACGACTATCCTTGAGCTAAGAACTAGCTTCATTCGGTACATCGATGCTAACTGCTGCTAACTCCCTAAGTGCAGGCTTCTGCTTAAACTCGAACCAGTGTGCGTAATACCATGAGGTGAGCATGCGTGCTATGGTTTGGTGAGTGTACCATTGAAAGTGGGCAGTGCAGCGCCAGCGTGCTTGTGCATGAAGCGAAAATCTGGTGACAAGCCGCAGATGTCGGAAAGGAATTGTTCGAATTGCCCAGGCTGTCGACTCGTTACTTTCCCGAAAGATGTGAAAATGAGCCAAAAGACTTTGGCACCTGAGCCAAGACAATGTGGTTTCATTCAAACCTGTAACCTTTCTGGAATAACTCGTCCTAAAAGATTGTCACTTTTCCTCTTTGCACCTAAATGGCCATTAATTCTCTAAGCTGGGCAAGTCACTCTCGATGCGCTTGCGGATGCTGGTAGTTCGAATTCTGCCACTGTTGTGAAACAATTACTTTATGATTTCTCATTAATCTAGGACAACAAGAAAGTTAAATTGGAAATTTGGTCCAATCACCTAGACTATGGTAGAATGATGTGAAAAATCACTCTAGATATTGTAAACAATGGCAAATGGCGAAGCGAAGCTAGACACAACAAATACAAATAGTGCGATCTAGTTTCTCCATGAAGACATAATAGTACGCAACAGATTAGCAACAAACATACCTTAATCTTGAGCCCAGCAGTCTTTGAATGCCATGTACTTATCTTTCCAATCAATTATATATATATATATATATATATATCCATACATACATATCGATGGTGTCTGAAATGAATGAGCCGATCTGGCCACAGAATTCATATCATCAACATCAGTCAATGCCGCACAACACTTGGCCCCAGTCCCTGATTCCGAAAGAGGCGTGCTTGGCTGGGCGGGGGGGGGGGGGGGGGGGGGGGGGTTTTGCATCACAAGGAATCGACAGCAGTTCGCGCGTTCAAAGTGTGAGTACACGGTCAGAAATCGAGACAATCCGAACCTCTGGATAAAAACACGTTTCTCCAGAGACGTTTCTCATGCATCCGACCTTAGGATCTTCAGCTTTACCCAGTGATCCCTCTCAATATTAGCGTTACGACGAAATATGAGGCAGACTGGACAAATGATGGAATAGACTGAGGGATTAGCAGATTGGATATTGAAAACGTGAATATTCAAAGGGAGCATTGGAAATTACAACGTGGGAAATGCTCAGCCAATGAGAGAGGAACAAACCTGCGCTGCAAGGCTGGCGGGGACGAGGGGGGGAAAATTCCCCCTTGAGGGCCAGGCAGGAAGTTATTCTCTCCGCTCTTCCTGGGAGCATATTGTTTTTCATGAACACCCATTTTAGTTAAGCCCACCTTGAAGTAGCCGGTAGGTCTAGTGATCAGGCGGTCTCCAGCATGCCCTCCCTCCCTCCGAAGTATACCAAATCCTCCATCCCCCTAGCGACCTTCCTTCCTGTGTACTGTAGTGGATTGCAGGTGGATTGCTATCGCCATATGCTTTATAGCTGTTGTTGCTGCGCTTGCTCTCTGTGGCTCTTCTCCACACCCACCTTTCTCCCTCGTTTCCAACATCCTTCCCCTCACTATTCCTTTGGTTCTATGATTGAATGTGTGTGAACAAAAACAAGTGAAGGTGACGACATTTTACTGCACTACTCATGCTCCTCATCTGGGTGATGACAACTTGTGGATTCTCACACTAGACTTCACTCCTTGCAGGAGTATAGACAGAGGTCTGATTTTTTATCATCAGTGCCCATCCTACCGAATACACACCTTTCTGGCAGATGCTGGATTTTTATGGTGCAAAGGTTGTGTGTATTTATGCTACCTGAGAGCAGACGTGGAAGTGTGAGAGAAAGATCAAGAAATTGATCTTCTGAGGTAAGTCCTGTTAAAAGCTGGAATTGATGACCAGTGCAGATATAAATCCGTTGAGGGATGTGCAATCAGATGAGCAAACATTTCAAGGAGCACGAAGTATAGTACAGAATATTACAGGGTGTGGAAATAGAGTGGGAAGCTGTGTTCAGCGTGACATAGTTCTTGCCGACATCTTGCTTTATGGGTTCGGCATGTTGGTGGTTGAACAGGATGCAGAAGTCAAGCAAGAGGTTGGATCGGACGTATCCGGCTCGGAAAACCATGAGCAAATTTATTCCTGGCTAGCGGAAGTTAGACATACAATCATCTGGAATTGAAAAAGAGATTTATGAAAAAAGATCTACCTATCAATATGAAATATGTGATGTTTATCTTGCAACAAGAGGATTGGCTTGACATCAACTCGGAATTCCGCAGTGCCTTCCTCGGCAAAAGACGACGGTTCTTTACAACAAAATGCAACGGATAGCTGGCTTAACAGATGAACCAATCAGGGCTATGACCACAGTTGAGCATATTTCCGACAGTTTTATTTATCATCAAGTTATCGATTATGCCCCCATTGATGAAAGTGAGGAGAAGCGTATTCTCTTCAACCAGGACTTCCGAATTTCAAAGCAGAAGTTGGATGGCAATTGTAAGGACGCCTTCGTTGCGCGTATGCCACTTAATGATATCACGAACTCAATCTACAAAGAATCTGCAAAATCAAGGCAATACTCCAACAATTGAAGCTGTGTAATCTAGATCTAGTACAAGTGCTGTAACTTCAAATCCTTTGAAAGACGAACGTATTAGCAACATAATAATAAACTTCTTAGTCCAAATCAAGCTTTGGAAGCAGTGTTGCCTTGGAAGGTTGAAATTTCCAAGAAATTTCCAAGAGTACCTTGGTCAAGATTTTAGGGCTTGGCATGCAAAGGAGGATACATGAATTGCCTTTGTAAGAGTAGCTGTTACACAATCTCTTGGCATAGACTTTGAACTTTATTGTTGACATCTTCCATAGGCATTGGAATACTACCTCAATAATTGATGTTAGAAATATGTGAAATTTCTATCCTTAAAGTATTAACAAGCTCATAAAGATATACAATAATTGTAATTCTATTTTGACTTCCGCCAAAAGTAGCATTCATAATTTTTTCTTCTATAGAAAATTAAAAAAAAAATATGAAAATCAAATTAGAAAAGGATAATCTATAACCTCTAATATAATCTATAACCTCTAATATCAAAATAAAGTTTCTACAAAGAAGAGTAGTCTACTCTCTTTAAGAAAAACAATCAATGTTAAAAACTAAATATAAGTTTAAAAGTAGATAGTTTGTTATCTTTAAAATATAATAATAGAAATGGAATAATCTTCTTACTTCTATCACAAAATATAAATAATAAATTAGTATTCTTATTAAACTATCAAAGACATAAATTTTAAAGAATCCTAAATCTTAAATCATGATGGATCCTACATAGTCCACTAACCTAGCTCTAATTCTAGAATCTCCCATAACTTCTCAAACATGGTTCCAACAATCTATTCCTATGTGTCAACAATAAAATTATCTTATCTATAGTATGTTATATATATATAATGGTTTCAAATCTTGCCTCAATAATAGGATAGACAACCAAAGGAACAAAATGGGCAAAACAACTCATATGTAAATATAATGATGTCTTTTTAAGTAACTTACTCAGTAATGTGCCATCAAATCAAGGTACCCTCTTTCAAATATAATTAATGCCTAAAGCCAAATCAATAAATTAACCAATTTATTACCTAGCTCCAAATAAACTTGAAGAGCTGCAAAAGACATTGGAGGAACACTTAGAGAAGGACCTTATTTGAGAAAGCACATAGCCATGGGAAGTATATGTACTCTTTGCATCCAAAAAAGATAGTAGACTTTGGCTTTACATTGATTATTGAAGCCTTAATAAGCAAATTGTCAAAAATGCATATCTACTTTCATACGAGGATGATTTTTTTGACCAACTTGAAGGTGCAATCATCTTTAGCATATTGAACCTTTGAAGTGGCTATTGATAGATACCTATTGCAAAGAAAGATATGGAAAGGTTGGCAATCTGTATGCACTATGGAGATTTTGAATGGCTTGTTTTATCTTTTGGTCTTACCAATGCTTGAGCTTCTTTCATGGATTACATAAATAGATTATTTTGAGACCTTTTGGACAAATGTATAGCTATTTTCATCAATGATATCTTACTCTATAATAAAATCTCTAAAAAACATGAGCAATACCTATACGAAGTAATGCATCGAGTATGAGATAGTTGCTTCTATAATAAGCAATCAAAATATGAACTTTGGAAGTCAGAGGTCACTTTTCTGGAGCACATAGTATCTTCCAAGGATATATGCATGGAACATGATAATATGTAAGTAGTGGAAGATTGGCCAACTCTCAAGGATGCTTCTGAAATCTGCTCATTTATAGGAATTGTCAAATATTATTGTTGTTTTGTTTGGCAATTTGCATGCATGGCTGCCTCATTGATAAGTCTATTAAGAAAAGATGCCTTATTTGTATAGAAACTAGAATAGCAAAGTGCCTTCAATAAGTTGTAGCAAGCACTTATTACTGCTCCAATATTACAACCATATGATCTAAATCTTTTCTATATACTTGTCATTGATGCTTTTGACTTTGCTATTGAAGTAGTCCTTCAAGACTTTGATAGGAACCTTCAACCTATGGCGTATGAATCAAACAAGTTTAGAAGGATAAAGTACAATTACTTTACATATGATTAAGAGCAATTAATAATTATATATGCCATAAATATTTAGCAATACTATCTATTGGAAAAACTAGTGATTGTTTGAATTGATCATCAGCCTCTGCTATATGATTTGTATCTAAAAAATATGAAATTACAACATCATTGTTGAAAAGAATAGTTGCAGCTTTTTGATATTTAGCTTCAATACAAGCAAGGGTGAGAATATAATATACTAAATAACTTGTTGGAAAGACCACATTTGAAGCCCAAATTGGAAGATAAGGCAAAAGTTGCTACCATTAATAGCATCATTTTAAATCTAATCAAAGAAGTACAATAGAAAAAAGCTATGCATTGCGATGCTTATTTCAAGACAATTAGTCATCAATTGAAGGTGAGTAATGTATAATATTAAGATTATTTTCTTAAAAAAAACTTGCTCTATTTCAAGAAGTAAATTTATGTACATAGTAATATTATACTTCAAATGCACATACTTCAAGAAAGACATTGCATTCCAATATCTAGACATCTAAGGCGTGAAAAGACTCTAGAATGAATCTCAAGGACATGATTTTGAGTAGGTTTGGATTATAATGTTCAAGCTTTTGTATACTCTTGCGAATCATACCAATATAACAAATCATGCAATGCAACAATTCCTAGGCTGTTGCAGCCAATTTCACTACCTACAACACATTGGATGTAGGTGACCATAGATCTCATTATGTATTTGTTGCAGACTCCTCAAAATCACATCACGATTGCTATCTTTGTGGACCAATTCTTGAAGCAATTTTACTTGGTTGTAATATGCTTTGACATTGATGTCTCAACACTTGCACGGATCAACTTTGACATTATCTTTTGTCACCATGGATTATCTTGTATCATTATTTTAGATTAAGATTTGTGCTATGTAGGGAGTTTTAGGTTGGCCTTATTCAAGCTATTAGGCACATGACTTATCATATCCATGACTTTTTATCCTCAAACGGATGGACAAATAAAGCATGTTTATTGAACCTTAGAAGATATGCTATGGATATTTGTGGCGGTTCACCATAATGATTAGGATGAATATTTAATGCCTTGGAAGTTTGCTTACAATGATAATATTTAAGCAAGTACCAGTCATTTACCATTCTTCTTTAATACATGTCAATATCTTATTATACAAGTAACTATCTATTGTCCTATCAAAATCAATAACTCGACAATAGAAGAGTTTATACAATCGCTTACAATGGCCTTATAGAAGGCATACCATTGTCTCTTCATTCCACAGAATTGACAAAAGCAGTATGTGGATAATTACTAGCAACATAAGACCTTTTGAGAGGGTAACTAGGTATTACTTCTCAATACCAACTTTCCACTTGCTACATCAATCCAAGTCTATAAGTTGACACCTCAATAGCTTGAACCTTTTCACATTTTTGTAATGATTTTTGATATTGCATATTGCCTTAAGCTTCTACCACATATTCAGAGGTATTTGGTCCTTCATGTTTTGTAGCTCAAGGAATATCATATTGAACCAAGGTACTTCTTGGACTAACCCCAACCAATACTACTGCCAATTGTAATTGATGACCAATAAAAATATGAGGTAGATAGTATTTTAGAGCATTACTATATTTGTTGAAGTAATCGATGTCTACAACTTCAATACAAGGTCCTGTAGGAAGGTTATTCTATCTACAATATAATGTAGGAACCTATACAGAACTTCATCTATTGTCAAGAAATAATCTAGAGGTACCATCAAGAGTGAAATAAGGACGTTTCTAATTAGTAGAGGTAGATTAATTATAATGAGGGTATGGATAAGATAATTATATTATTGAGAAGTAGAGATAAGTGAATAGAACCATTATTGGGAAGTTTCTAGAAATTTTTAGAATTAAGGTTAGATTTTAGAAATTTTTAGAATTAAGGTTAAAAGATTTGAAGATGATTAAACAAAATATAAATAAGACTAATTGAGGCTATTTGGAATATTTGATCATGTATAGCTTTGGTTCTTTTTTCTTACTAAAGTTTGGTTTGTATTTTTTGTTCAATTCTACTCTATTTTCTTTTATTTTGCTTTGTCTTTCATATACTATTTTGTTTAATTTTATTCAATTTTGTTCTCATATATTTTATCCTACTTTGTAATGGAAATTATCTTGTTATTGATTGGAAGAATTTTAGATCTTAGAGAGAGCTCAATCCTGTTTCAACACTTTTCTATAGGTGATTTATAGGTTAAAAACTTGGCCAACAAAATAGCCACATATTGCATGTATTAGTAGCTTGTCGTACAAGTTAATGATGTGTCATACATATAAAAAACTTACTGTGATTACTCGTTTTACTTATTCTGGAAGAAACCTCCCAAAATAAATCCGTATAGGAGAATTCGAACACGGAGAATGAGTAATTGCTTAAGTGTTCATCTTAGGGTCACACAATCAATTACTTCCTGAATGTATCATCTCTATTTCTAATATCTGAACACACAAGGAAACTATAATCTCCTCCTTCACCTTATCGGTCTCTTCCTTACAACAATTCAATCATACCAATAACTACTATTTTCACCAATATATTCACCCTCATAATTTCTAATTATAATACTGCACCCTCACAGCTTTCAGCACACAATTACCCTCGTTCCAATCACTAGAATTCTTCACACAGAACTGCCATTCACATTACAGTGTTTCACACAAACATAGACTCATTCTCTCTGCTGAACTACAATCAGATTTCAGTATTCAATCTTTTTTCTTCTCAAATAATACCAATCACATTTCCATTCTATAATTCAAATCACAATATTTAGAAACTCTCATTCCTCTTATTCAAAGAAAATAACAAACAAAAGAAAAGAGGTAGCACCAAGCTTACCCCGGCTCACACTATCACAGTGATAGCACCTTAATTAACTTCTACAACTCCTACAGACTTTCCTTTGATTCTCCAGATTCTAATCGTAATTCTATAATTACGTACTTTTAATAACTCAATCACTCATCCGTCCTCCTGAATTTCCTATTATATAAACTATTAATATATTTTATCAATAGCTTTCAAAAATGAATTAATATCTATTCTTCATAGCTCCACTCCTATCTGTGCAGCATCCTCACAAACACTTAATTGATACCTATTTAAAAATTATCTAACAAAATTCTACAAAAATTGCAATCCCTTTGGCCTATCTAATTAATCAATTGCCACAGTATCTGTTATTGGTTCCACGGATTCCGGTTCCAATTGCAAATCTTCATCTTCTTCCTCTAGTCCATCGACTCCTCCTCAACTGATTTGATAGATCTTTGTTATACTCACCTAGTACACGGACTTGAGCTTTCA